CTGTACCAGGTTCTTTCTGGCCGCATGTTGATGTCGTTATAGTTATACCCTACACCTCCAAGTACCTCCTCAGAAGGTATTTAGACCCTCCAAACCCAGCCCAGTCCCACCTTCTCAAATGGTACGACTGGAGAGCCCTCTGGATTTGACCTGTGAGTTCTCAACAGGACTCACGTATCTCATGTCCTTTTCGACTTCTATGTGGCACATCCTCTTCGAGTTCTTGGTCGATCGCACCCGACCGGTCCCAACAAGTACCGGTGTCCCCACAAGCACCGGTGCGGCTCCTCTTCTAAGTAGGCACGTAGGAAGTCCGACTCGTCCAAGGACTGCGACCCACAGCCGCATCCTGGCGCACGAAGCGGCATGCGGAGCGGCACCGTGGTGTGGCGGTCCGGGGACCTCCTGCGGAGCTGCTCCTGGGTCCATGCGCGAAATGGGGGAGGGGGTTCGAATCAGGCGTCCAAAAAGACAGCACATGTCTTGTGAACGCCTTCCAGCACCACCCAAAGGGTCCTAAGGGTGGTTCTTGGATAGAAAATACATGGTCAGGAGTCAGGGGGTCTATAAACCACAACTTTGGGGGGTTATTGCCTTGGTTCATGATAGTTCATGATCCTCCATCATTGGATTCTACACATTCTGAATTCCTCCACTGTGCACCATTCCTCAAACCCCTAGCCGCCTTTCCCCTTGTCCGCGTTGCATTTCTTGAAAATCTCCCAGACGCGGAGCTGCCGCATGATGAGGTAGCGAGGGTCTGCTAGGAAGACCTCGTCTGATCACTCGTAGGTCAGGTTTGGGAGAGCATAGTAGATTCAGTTTAGGGAGAGCGTCGTAGTACACGATCATATAGTAAATCGCCGTCAAATTCCTTTTGGATCCTTTTGGGTTCAAGAATGCTCCGTGGGCACAGGTGAACATCGCATGATCGCCACATTCCCACGAAAACATCACCGACCGCACATGTTGAGCGCTCCACCTTCAGCTTCCCAATGACCCACATCCATGGACGGTCCGGACATGTCCGTCGAAGCTCCAACTTCTCACGGTCTCGTTTGGGCCCCCCGCACGGCCACCTTGCCGAAGCTTTGCGGCACCAGCCATGGGGGAAGCAAACTAAACAGGCAGCGGTTGGCCGAGGGACGCACCTGGATCTCCTGCGTTTTTGGCGCACGCGCGGGGTGGCCTGGGGGTGGCCTGGGTGTGGCCTGGTGGCATGGCCGGTCCTGAAGAAAAGAGACAGGTCACAGTATCTTTTTGGGACATGTCAACCAGGTTTACAGGGGGGGTGGCCGTTTACCAGGTAGTCCAGGAAAGAGGTGGCACTCTCATGTTTCATGGATGATCTGTAAACATCATGTAACTGGAGCTTGTAGATGGGCCTCTCCATCAAAAGCATTCAAAAGCCAACAAATCTTCAAGATTGGTCTTGAAAATGTTAGAGCAATACATTTATTGAAAGAAGCGTATGGTGTTTTGGAAGACTCTCACCAACTCTCCTATGGCAGCACTGCCAAAAAACACCAAATAGAAGAACTGAGAACACCTGTTTCAAAAGATCCTCGCACAAAGTCAGCCAAGCTGTGAAAAAACCGCTTGGCAAAAGGGTCACCCAAATGGCGCCCCGTGCCGTTGCGCCACCAATGGCACGGCTTCCTTCCGCGCCCCCACCGACCAGCACCGACCAGCACGGCCCCCGGGTTGGGCGGCTCCTCCTCGTTGAGCAACTCCAACATCCGGTGGCGGAACTCGCAGGCGCCGTCCACTGGGCCGCCTGAATCGGCGGAAGCCGGAAGCCCCTCCCATCGGTGCAGCGGCGACGATTCGCCAACGGATGCGGGGCCGGCGATGAACGGCTTCCGTGGTCTTTCTCTGAACTGTCTACCAGGTTAGTACGAGTCTGCCTTTGAGGCATCGAGCAAGGGCGGAGTCGAGCAAGACGACCCTCGCACGACGACCCTCGCCTTGTTTCGCTTGAAGTGGGTCGCCAGCCAGGGCAAAGATGGGCTCCAGCACCTGCGCCCCCCACTCCATTCCCCGGGCCTGCCGATCCTTTTCGGGGCCCAGCCAGAGACTTTTCAACAAAAAGGAAATGCGTCTTCGCACTGGGGGCCAAGATTTCACTTCCAGAGTGAGTGAGAAGTGAGAAGGCTTTTCCCCACTGAACCAGTCTCCTGGTTCAATTCGAAAAAAGTAAAAAAAACGTTCTTGTGGTGAACCCCCATGAATGATGTTTCGCTGTTGGTGGCCTTGTCTGACTACCTGGCCTTGTGATCCTCTTGAGTGAAGGAGTGGGGCTGTCGTTGCAGACCTGACAAACCTAGCTTCTTGAAAAGCCGTCTTCCCGATGGATTCCATGTCTAATCACTGCATCCCAGGCATCCCAGGCATCGGATCCAACTCAACCTCTTGCCGCTGTCTACGAAGCTTCTAGGCCAGTTGATGACTGGCCACTTCTAGAAGTTCGGATTCCAGTCATCGGCACAGTCCAGGTGTTTTCTTCACCCCAGAGATGATCTGTTCCGGATGGGACCACAAACACCGCAAGGACCACCGCGTCGCCCTGCGCGCCCTGCGCAGCCTGGATGTTGGGGCAAAGACCTCCGCTCACCACGTCGGCCGCTGGGAGTACAGTATGTTCCATGCCTTTTCCCACATCTAAAAAAACGCTGTTTACAAAAGGGAACTGTTTTTTGTTAAAACATGCGTTTTATTTATTGGTACATGTAACAACAAATACATCGCAACCATCCAGGTCGCTCGAAAATCCGACCATCGTTTCTCTCGCCCAAGAGCCCAGGTCATGCAAAACAGGGCCATCTTCCTTTGGCATGAACTCGTTCACCTCCTCTCCAGATAGCCTTCCTTTCAAAGGATCTGGCCTGGTGAGAGTGCCAAGAGCACATCCTTCTCACCCACCTGCCATCTTTCTGACCTGACCGCGGAGTAACCGAAGAGAGCTGCGAGAGCGCGAGGCAGGGTGAAAACGATGCCAGTCAAGATCCCAATGAGTCAGAGTTCCTATACAGATTGCTGCAAATGTCTAGAGGACTTCAAGGCGTTGACCAGCAAAAAACCGTTTGTATAATCTTTTGTATAATAAGAGATAATAAGAGTATAGTTTATATGCATTCATTGAAGTGTGACAACTCTCCCATGACCACACATGTCGACCCAAAAGAGCGGGTCGCAAGCTGACCCACGCTCAAATGGATCTGGCAGAGGTGGAAACAAAAGGGCACGAAGGACTTTCGCAAGAAAAACATGATCGTGCTGAAGTAGAGAAGCTTGAGAATCCTTGAAAGCTCAAGATCTCTGCAAACACCCCTGAAAAGCGTTGTCTCCCATGTGGCACGCGAGGACGCGCCACCCCACCAAAGTCCAAAGTCGGCCAGGCTCGCTAGGCTGCCAGGCAGGTCAAAGAGCTGGTCTGTCTTCAGGAAGGCGGGGACGATGACGTCTCCGACCCTCTTGTGAGGCACACCTCGTCGCTGAGCTGTGGAGTGGAGAGGCGCTACGGGGGGTGCTCGTATTGGAATCCTAGTAGGGGCGAAAGTTAAAGCCCCAGAGTCGAGGGTAATTAGTTCTGATGTGTTTCATGATTGAATCATTTCAGGATTCTGAAGGTTCTGGAAAATCTTCCAAGTCTCTTGCTGTCCTCCCAAAAGACCTCGAATTCCTCTCCGATCTGCCCGTCACCACGAGTCGCTTGCGACACTCCGTGGTAAGCGCACGCTCGGCGCCGGACCCAACGGTGTGCAGTAGACCCTGTCGTTTGGGGCGAGGTCCTCGCGTGGTTCGCATGGGTCGATGAGGAACTGGTCGATGGGGGGTGCCTGTTGGGTTGTTCCAAGCCGACCACATTAGGCACCAAGGCACAGCAAAAAAGAAAGTAAGCTGGCAAGGGGCCATCAGTCAAAAAAAATAATCTTTAGACTTCAAACAATTGTATCCTTGGGATGGGATGATACTGTACACCCGCAAAGGCAATGCACAGATATGCACAGTGCTCTGAGAGACCAAAAAGGCACCGATTCAAAACAGTAACATGCTCAGGAACACATCCAAAACAAATGCCTGCCAGTCCACATTCAACATCATTCAACACTCAACAGTGCCCTTTTGGCGGGTCGAACATGCCGGAATCCGTCAAAACCACCAACTCCTTCAGGCCTTTCATATCATATGAAAATACATTGGTTTTCAGGAACATCCCCTCAGTCATTCAGGGTCATTGTCTAGTCATCCAGAAGAGTGAAGTAGTTGACATTTCAAGGAGGGTGACCTCCTGGTCCGCGGCGCTGGGACGCGAGTCTCCTCAAGCAGATTTGAAAAGAGTACGGGTTGTCGAACAAATCTCAACCAATCACACAGAAGAGTTGCCAAGTGCACAACCTCAGCTGTTCCAATACTCTTGAACATCTGAGCCTAGAATGTCCGGCAGCACACACCCTGGCCCTCACGATCCGGGATCAACCCCCCCTTGCCCTGAACCCTCGCTCCAGCACTGGCGGCTTCTCCAACTTCAACTCGCCACAGCCACACTCTGGCCTCTCCTGGCGTGGTTGCTTGGAATTCGCCCACCATCCCCCCCCCAACACCCAGGCTCCGCTTTTTCCCACCATCCATCCCAGAGCGACCCCGGCGAGCTCTCCGCTCCTCCTCAAAGTGCACCATCGCCGCAAAAAGGGTCCCGGTCTATTCTCGCTCAGCTATTGAAGAAGCGGCGCCGCTTGAGCCCGCGCTGAATGAAGTCGCCCGCCACTTCAGCTGGGTCTGTTTGACCTCCGATCTGGTTGGCGGTACCGTCCCTCAAGTACACATCATGGCAAGTGATTCCTGCAGGTATACCTGGTACCTTGAGCTACGCCTGGCAAACACGAAAACCACCAGGAAATGATCCTAAGATCTACTCCTCCCATCCTCTTCCCGTTTCACCCCTCAAATCTGGCGCCCCTCCTCCCCTCGCCTCCTCCCCTCGCCCAGAGGCCCCCCACGACACATCGGTGCCCAGGATCGCCTGGCGAAACGCCGTGTTCGGCGTCCAACCGGACCGAGCGGAGCGTTCCCGCAGAGAGAGAGAGAGAGAGAGAGAGAACCCGGGCAGCGCAGGCCTCAGTGTCTTTGATCTCCTGCTTCTTGATCGCACGCTCCTCATCTGCGTTGGCCTGGCATCGAAAAGAGGTCTTCGACTCAAGAGAGATGGAGAAAAAAAAACACGTGCAGAATGCATGGGAAAAACATTGGGGGGCCCACTAATGGTATAGAGGTAGGCACCCCCCCCGTAGGAATAAAAACAGAATATTCCTTAGGGTTGCACATGTATTATTCTGGTAGGGTTGCACATGTATGCTTGTATTATTCCTAGGGGTGTCCACGGGGTTGACTATTTTATAAACCAAAATAATTCAAAAAAAATCTAAAGCAGGGCTAACACCCCCCCCGTACGTGACAAGTGATCTTTGCACATACCATAGGAATAAATTTCAGCTTTCTTTGATTCTGCAGCCACAAAAAGATCACACAAGCAAATCGCACGGACTGAGGGGCGTCCACTCTTACTGCACACAATTATTCTGAGAGGCTTGATGACCTCAAGGACGCATTGAAATATTACAAAATATTCCTACCCCACTCCCTAGGCTCAAGAATTATTCTGAGGGACCATACACATGCTCTCCCAGACCCCCCCCTCAACCTAGTCATGGAAAATTATGTTAGGTCAATATTATTCCAACAAAATATTCCAGAAGGTCAGGGGACCCTCAGAATAATACTTTACCATGGAAAAACGGATGACACCCAGTGGTTTCATAAAGTCTGCAGACTCTCCGCGCTTGTTGTGAGACCATCCCAAACTCCCAGTGTGCTTGAATAAGAGTATATACTGACATGGCCAAACCGTCATGCCAACACCAGTCATACTGGGCCTTCTCCTCCTTTTTGGTTTCAATCTGCTTGATTCCAGCTTGAATCTCTTCGGTCTTTGCGGCAGCCAGAGCCTTGCGAGGAAGGGATAAGAAACTCTCCGACATGGCAATTCCAACATGGGCTTTTGAAGTCATAGATCCTTGGGAAGATACAAACGTGCAAAACCAAATGGGCACAGTCAGTAGTGTTTTTTGTCAGTATATAAATCGCGAATAATACTGCAGATCGTCGTGTCGCAAATAGTCCACGTTCGGCCTCAAACACTCCCGGTTACCTTGGCATGATCGCCCCGGCTCACCGTACATCCAGCCTCCCGGTGCCTGACTGCGGCATTGCCTGGTGATACCCACACCCACACAGACTGGCCTCGTACTGCTTGGTGGAGGTTGCTTCATCGTCCTTGATCTTCACCAGATCGGCCGTGAAGTCATCCTCACCACAGCTCGGCGGTCGTCGAACAAACACCGAGTTTGTAGAGGTCTTCCTGAAAGAAACGACCCATGGTGGCTTGGGGTCGACGGTGATCTCCATTGCTGTTTAAGATCATTTAAGAAACGATGCAGGGGTGTGTGTGTGTGTGTGTTCAAATGTGGGTTGATCAAATTCTCCTCCTGCCAACTTGACTTGGGGGTTGCTCCTCTTGGGATCTCGGATATGGCGATACCGTATACCTCTTCCACTGAGCGAATAGCTTTGTGTCTGACAACCTACAAGCGGAGGTAGCTCAACTGCGAGTCTTGCAGGTCAATCGTGTGGTTTTCATTGGTCATTGTCTTCAATTGAGACTCTGAGAAAACAAGTGAAAAGGATCCGAATCCTCAATGAGAAGATTTCATGTGATTTCTGTGTTTGTGCTTTTTGCTTTCTGTGTCCTTCTGGCGAGTTGGGGCCTTGGGAACAAATGCCACAAAGGCAAGAACAACCAAATGCACGCCTCATGTATATATAGATATAGATGATTATAGATGGGCTGTTCCAGTGCAGCAACTCACAAAACAAGTCGTGCTGGAAAAAACAAGAGGCTGTCTTTGCACTGTAAACAGCCTTGAAATCTGATTTGATGACTCAAAAATGAATGACTCTACCGTCGGCCACATGTACTCACACTCAACAGGAACTCAATCAATCGTCACCCCCCAATCAGCTACCATGGCCATCCTGCAAAACCCATCCATTCTGCCGAAACCGGCACGACAAACAGTACAGCTGCATTCCGCTGTCGCATCCGGCGCTTTACCACACGACAGCTGCGGCGGTCCTTCAAGCCCTCCAGCACGCCCTTCACGGTGTCCACGCCATCACCGCGTTGAAGGAAGGACTGGGCAATGCGGCAAGGCGGAAAACCCGGGTCGACAGGCCAGGTTGCCAGGTTTTGGGCCCACAAAGGTGGCGGTAAAATGCGGTATATATATATATATAAGGTGTAAAGCAAAAACTGGTTCAATAGAAAGAGAGATAAAACATGCAACACATATGTTCAAACCATGTAAAGCACAAAGAAGTGATCAAGTGTCTTCTTTTGACGCTCCCGATCTTCACTCTGGAGTAGCAGTTGTGTGTGTGCGTCTGTTTTTCTTGGAGGGAATTTCCGTTGTGCTGTTCCAGGGACTCCCGACCGCCCCCCTCCACTTTCCACTCCACATCACACCACACACACACCCCTGGAAAACACCACGGACGCCACGCCTCTACCGCCTGTCGATCCTCCATGTTCAGCTTGGCCGCGTGGCGGCCCAAAATCTCACGCAAGGGCCGGGCGGCCTGAGGAAGGTCGTGTTCGCCGGTTTTGGCGTAGGTGTCTAGGGATGTGAATGAATGAAAGGGTGTCTCAAACACTATCATAACAACTTGCTGTAAATGTACCTTTGATACATGTTGATACTCATACAACTCTATTTGTTCCACTCGCTGCTCAGCATGTCCAAGGTGGACCCAAGGCTCAGGCAATGAACCCTATTTGGACGGCGCGAATAGAGCCGCATCGCTGAATCTTGTGGTGGCATCTGAAGTCTTCTTGCTAACTCTGGAGATGTTCTTGTTCTTGATAATGTGTCAGTAGAATTGGGAAAACCAAACATCCCTTGGGATTGGCACCTACACTGTCACCTGCTTAACCTCCTTAACCTCTGACGTTCCCTAGCTTGCAGCACCAACCTCGGACCCTCAGGACCTCTCACCTGTCAGTAACCAGATTTCCGTGCCCCTGCCGTTGCTTTCGGAAAACATCACGGTATACATCCATCTATCCAAACATGGAAGTAGAACGGAACCACCTGGTTTTGTTCGACTTTGTTTGTGAGAAGAAATCGATCCACGCCCGGATAAGCGATTCCGGGAGCCCCTGCAGTCTCCTTGCTCTGCAGAAAGGCACCTTCCTTAGAGACGAAGTGCGGAAGGTTTAAGCCTAAGCCAGCTTTAACATCTTTAACCATGGTTGGTGGTTGGGATGGGGATTCTACGTTCTACTACTAAACAGAAATCCTGGCGTTCTACTACTTCTACGTTCTACGATCGATCGGGACCCCAAGGGCGGAGCGGACCCAGCGGGTGATCTGAATAGGTCAATAACGTCGTGTTTGACGTCTGGCAACTTGGTAAACATGGAAACCACACCGTTTCCATCCGTTTCCTCTGCAGTTTTTGAATCACTCCGGCTTGAGATGTCACCCCTCTTGACCTAAAGTCTACACTACACACCGCGCAAATGCCGCGTCGGCGTCGAGGTACAATGTCATTTGCACCGGCCATCTGGCGGGGTCAAGGACCACGTTCCCTTGGCCCAACCTGACCCGTTCCCTCAACCTCCCTTCATCTTCCACCCTTTTCGCCACCCCGGGGTCCCCAAAACGAAAACCACCGGCTCCGCTTCCAGCTCCGCGCCCCGCTGCGGCTCCCTGCGCCCGCGACCGCCATGGCGGTGATGGCGCTGGTCACGCCGCTGAGGTCCGAGTTGAGGCGCTCCAAGTCGTCGGTGAACTCCTCCGGCGTCCGACGCGGGAGGCCGTCGGGTCCACTCCCCGTCCGGCGGCGCCGCGCGGTGTCGGCGCTCCTTCGCCCTTTCGGTGCCTTTCTTCGGTGCGGGGAATGGTTTCTCGGGTGGGCCGCGGTGCTGACGGGACGGGACTCAGCCTGGTGGATGTGCTCGGACGGGTGACACGCGATGACGCCAAAAAGCGGCTGCAAGGAAGCGGCCTTGTTCACTCAAGACGTCGCTGGCTCGATCCGCGAATTAACGCTCCAAGATCTCAAGGATATGTATGGACCGACCGAGCAGCTTCCGCAGCCTCAGCGTCTTTTCGGCTCCGAAACTCGGAAAACCTCTCCTTGTTCTGCTGCCTTCGCAGATGCGTGGCTGTGTCCAAGGCTGCCTGCAGCGACTGAAGCGAGCGAAGAGCGAGCGCCCCGTCGGACGTCTATCGTCTCACCCGGGAAGCCAACAGCTCCGGAACGAAGCGTCGGAAGAATACGAACATGGGCTCCAGCGACTCATCCCCACACCTCGGGCTCCGGCATCGGGACCGGAAGGTTTTTTGGGGCTCGCAACACCCACCAAAACATCCTTTCACCATCTTCCAGCACCTTCCAACCAGGTCTTCTTTGGAGGGTTGTTAGGCCCTAACAGGTTTCAATTGGTGACCTGTTGGAGGTGCTGGTTTGGCATCGTCGGATTTTCCCACCCGACGACCATGGTTTCGGGCTCCGCCTGGTTCTTGGCGACCTCATCTTCCGTGGTCTCCACTTCGGCCTCCCGCACGGCGATGACGCTCGCGTCAACCGTCTTCTTTGGCCGGAAAAGGCACGTCGAGAGTCGGCGGAGATGACGAGGTGGAGACCGGAAAAAACGGCCAAATGTCTCCTGTCAGTTTGGGGCAGCTTTGTGGGCGGCTTTGGGCTGAAGGAGGAGACTCTGTGTGTTCTGGGAGTCCGGGTGAATGAGTCCTTCGAAGTGATTCTCAAGGTTGTGGACTTCCAGAAGCGGGCTTCGGAAACATGGCACTATATATATCAATATCAAGAAGGTCAGTGGATTCAAAGCAATTGCATGGGGAGGCGGGGAGGCCTCGCCTTTTGGACAGTAAAGCCTCTGTGCCCTCCAGGCATCCTCACGGAAGTGGAGCGGTTTTAAGCCACGACTCGTGCTGAAAAGGAATTCTTGGAAGTCGCGAGAGAACGTTATCCCAAATAATCCGAGGATGAGCGCTTCGCGGCCTTCAATCGATCGCTCTTCGCCAGAAGGATTTCCACGCGATCCTCCAATCGCGGCGGGGTGTCAAGGCATAGCAAGGTGTAGGGAGCGGTGTGCTACGGGTGATCTCTGATGAACACACTCTAAAGAACTTGAGGAGACGGGGGTGGACGAAAGGGTAACATGTCTGCGGCTGCTGCTTGCTGCTGCTGGCAAGCGCCGGAGCACTTCACCACCCCCAATACATTATTGCTAAAGCAAAGACAACTCAGGTAGCAAAACCGCTACCTTTCATGACATGCCTAACACGCCTGCTTTCCGATACAAAACCCTCCGTCTTAGAAACAACCAGGCACGACCAAGCATTCCATGTTGCATCGTTGAGGCCACTGCAAAAGTGCAGAGATACCCCAAAAGCCGCGTCCAATAGCGGCATCGTCGGCAACACAAGCGCAACTTAGTCTCCACTAGTTTGGACTCTTGTCATCTTTGGATCCCCTCTGCAAAACCCCACCAAAACCACATCCGGCATCATCTGTTTTTATATGTTTCTAGGATCTCCTTCAAACAGTGAGGGTTTCATTCGGTCTTGGCCCCTTGTTGCTTCTGGAATCTTCTGGATGACCTGGTCACGTCCCACGACCATGTCCGGACGCCGCAGCGTCCTTCAACTCCGTCGTAGCCATCTCAGCCTCCTTCACCTCACGCTGCCAGGATTGGACAAATGGCCCTTATAGTGGTCCCCAAATAGATAGTGGCGCGGTGTCCAATACATTTTCTCCGTGGGTATCATGGCCCCCTATCCCATCGGGAAATGATGAATAGCAAAGGAGGTCTCAGCCGATTTGCCCAAGACCCTCTGGCAGTTCTTGGGCGCCTGGCCCATTCTTTCTGCACATACAAAAAGAAGATTTCGCACCATTGGTGGACCAACCCGTCACGTTTGTGCAGCACATGGACACGTCACCTAAGGCTTGCACAGCTTTCTCCCTTGCCACGGTGTTCTCGTGGCACCAGCATTTGAACTTGTCCTAGGGACAGCGCGCGATCTCGTCACATGTTCGTCTCTGAAAAAAGAACGTGGTGAACGAAGAATTGGAACCTATATATTTATAATTACCTGTTTCTCCTGCTAATCAGTGTTTGCAAATTTGGAAGCGTTAAAATCAATCTCTTGCCCTTCCACGTACTTCCCTTCTTTGACATTCTGGTGCTCTACACCCGGAAACCGACATGTTCGCGGGTGATTCGGCAGTCTACAGATGTGGTTTTGCCTATGGCCCTTGGAACGACTGTGTGCTGTAGTTTCTGAAAAAGTGCCAACAACTGCAGCATAAGGCAGTTTGAACTAGGGCCTGCGGTGCTCCAATACATTGGCATGCGGCATGCCTGAGAGTGGAATCCTATAAAATTGAAGCGCCTTCCAAGCCATCAACTCTTCCAATTCTATCCGTTCAGAGCGAACGACACGAGAACCTGGTCTTCCCAAGCCATTGCACCAAGATGCATAAGTCTCCTCATCTGCCTTGGCCTAACAGACCGGGATCCGGCACAAAAATCGGAAAGAATAGATCACAGAAGTTCTCAGAAGCACCACCCGGTGGAGTGAAGAATCATAAAACCGCACTCTGGCTGCAAACATCGTTGCAACCGCGGATGGCACCAAAAACCGGATAGTTGGTGTGGACCTTCCATCTCAAAATGTTCACCGGGACATGGTGCCACCCACTGCGGGTCTCAAGATCTCTTTTGAAAACAGCTGGCCTCGCATAAGCAGCGCGCCTCTGAATCCAACTGTTCCTGCATTCCTTGCAATAGTTTCACCACCTTCACACAAGGCACGAGATCTGCGGATTCTCCTTTTTTCAGTTCATCTTATCTTAATTTCATTTCATCTCTTCTCTTAGTCTTCTCTTTGGCCTATGTGGGAGTGGGGCCAAGACTGGGAGACCACCCACTTCGACTTCTTAAAGCTGAAGCAACACCAGCACAACTCTCACAGCCCACACGGCCCCAAACACACATTCGCCATGTGGGAAGAGAGGCTCGAATGCGGGCCTTGGTGGTCGGCCTCACAGCATCTTCTGCATGGAAAGTAAGGCCGGCGGCCTCGACTTGGCGTCCCAACCGGCGGAATTGAACCCGGTGCGAGTTCAACCAAAGATTTGTTACAAGGACGGCGCTTCGGCACGGTTTGGCTATTGATTGTTCTCATCCATTTTGTTTGGGAACTCATTTGCTTGAGGCAAGATTAGGAAGCTGGACAGCGCTGATATTATGCCAGCATGGACCCCAAACAGTTTCAGGATTTTTTTTGCGTCAACTCCCCTGAATTCCACCGTTGGTGGTCACGTCTGCATTGGGAATGACACGTCGACAAAAACTGCTAGAAAACGTTGGAAAACAATCTCACTGCAATGTTTGCAGCCACACTGCAAGGCTCTTTTTTCCATCTAAAAGGGGTTGATGCTCATGGTGCATTTTTGGTGCGCGTCGGTGACCAGCGTTTCTGCCGAATGCGGCTTCACGAAAAGGTCGATGGATCTTCATGCTTGATTTGTCACTCAGCTGGATGAAAGGCTTCTTCAGCCAGGTGGCCATTTCATCCCGGAGCTGCTTGCTGCATTTCATGAGACCGTGCGCCAACATGAGATTCGTGGGGCGCCAACAAATCATGCGGGAGTTGATAAATTGCTGGGTCGACCGGGCGTCGACATACGTCCTCTTCTCGGTCGTCCGCGGGCTTTCCGGGAAACAACAGATGCAGTCTGTCACTTCCAGCTGCTGCAAATTCCACTTCTCAGGGCCCCGGTGTCCCGGTGAGCAGCTGGGAGAGGAGCAGGGACACGTAGTGTTATGAGTTCATAACCTCTGCACAGGGCTCATTTCCAGAAATTTTTTTTTGTGTGTTTTTATGTTTTTTTATGGCTTGGAGATATGGTTTTTTTAATGGTTGTGAAAAAGGCTAAAATTGGATTTATGATATGTTTATGGTTTTTTTAATGTTCTTTTAATAGCTTGAGGACTACTAAATTTACTAAATAGGCCTATTAAATAGGCGCTCCAGGGCTGCAATAAGCAGAATGTGTTGTCAGTGGGCAAGCTGGAAACTCTCATATAAGGGAACTTGGAAATTCTCATGTAGGGGGCTGTCAGACCTGTCACAGAACTTGGAAAATTGTGGCGCCCTAGGCCCCCAGGCAACACACTTGGGTATGTCTGGCACGTGCTTCAGCTCACCTCATAGGGCCTGAAAAAGGCCACAAAAAAATCCATATTAAATCCATATTGTTGGAGAAGGATGCAAATCATATAAAAACCATAAAACACACTGTGTTTTATGTTTTTTTAATGGTTTGGGCAGATTGTGTTTTATGGTTTTTATATGATTTGCACCCTTCTCCAACGGATTCTTTACAGAAAAAATACGGTGGCTCCAGAGCTCCAGGTTTTGTTTATGGGGAAGAATACACTTTGCACAAAGGTGTGAGTCTGGTGTCGGGCCTCTAGGGGACTTCCATCACACGCCCCGCCCTAGGCCCTGGGCCCTCCTCACAAGTACCCCCAAACCCACGTAAAACACCCAACCAGGAATATTGAACAGGAACCCCAAAACCGGAACCTTGCGATCTTCCAGGGGCGGCTGCGTGGTCACAGGAAGGGCACAGTGAGCACCCAACAGTGCCGCATATTCCAATTGCGGCTTCACAAAAAAATTGTAAAAAAAAACATATTCCCAGATCATATCCAAACCATAAAAAATCCTTTTTAAAAAAATATTTGGACATACTCTTCACCTGCAGGCTTCTGAACTCTTAAACGTAGTGGGCACGGTCAACGCAGTCGTGACAGGCTATCGATTCTTGAGTTCAAGTTTAGGTTCTGCGGCGAAGCGGATCAGGACAAGAGGAGGACACAGGGTTTGCGAGCGCGGCCAGCAGGAAAAAGAGGAGGACAACCTAAAGAGAGAACCCCCACAGCAAATTGTTTGGATAATACGACCTGGCTCATTCATGACACGCTGGAATGTGTGAGGGCTGATTGGGCGGATCAATACTTTTGAATCTGTTCTTCCTTCTTCGGTTTTTGTGGAAAACTATTCAGATATCATCTTCTGCCACGCGCCGACCGAAAGAACAGACTCATCACGGAATCGGTTAAGTAAGCACCAGGAGCTCAAATTCCGAGGTCGAACAGCCATGAATTGCCACAAGATCAGCATGATATAGGTTTCAGAGTCGATGGTACAGACGCCGACACGTCCGCTATTGGTGACGTGTGAACTTGGCCATTGTGGGTAGCAACTCATGAACCGCGGCCCCCACACTGCCTCACACCCGCTGTAGCGCTTAAACAAAGGCAAGCGAGCGATGACCAATGTCACGTCTAGTTCCAAAGCTCAACCCCAATGCAGACAAGCGCAGCCCTCATGCGTGACAGAACAGACTCCCACAGCTTCCGTTGGCTGCGTTGGGTACAAGGTTCAAGGTCCCACTGCGAACTGGTAACGAGGCTCCCTGTTTCCAAACCTCTACGTCAAGCAGTGCGCAATCATGCGCTCGTGGCTGACGGTTTTGTGCGTGCTTCGCCGTCTGGCAGTCATCTGTGCTCCCTCTGTGGATTTGACCAGATGGTCAGAAAGAGATTGCGCATTAAAAATCCTTTCTGCAGGGTCTCATCCACGCGTTGCTTGGCAATTGCGTGCTCTAGCAGGACTTCGTTCTTGTGGGCGGGCTTCCTCATCTTACTTTTTGAGCTGAAGGGCACCGGTCGCAAACGCTCGGACACAACCTTGGCCATGTCGATCTCGTACCCGTCTTTGGCGGCTCAGATCCGTGTACCATTGAACGATGCACATTCTTCTTGATCCTTCGTGAAGGTGAAGGCCCTCCACCTCTTTGGTGTAGTTATTCTACCCTTATTGATGACCCCGCCTGCCTCCGCCAACATGTCCTCACGAAGCTGTTGGCTTGTAGCATGGTTCAACTGCTTGTCAAGCGAATCCTCCACGGGGCCCATCGCCTGTGCTAAGATGCCAAACTCTTCTATAGATAAACAACTACCCTGTGTTCCACTGCAGGCAGTTTCTACCCTTCTTTCCAAACCCGTGCTCAAATTGCTACAAACATGTGTCTTTCATCTGCGTGTCTGTTACCTTATGGCCTTGCCACCTGGAAAGCCGGCGGAACACGCCAGCGGCGGTTAAATTGTTCAGCTCTCCGACCAGCCTCAAGGGCCGCCTTCAGCACCAAAGTTCAAGACGATGATCGAAGCGTGTCCACGCAAAGGTCCCGTAGAAGACGGATTGGAAGTAGTAGGGAGCATCCTCCTTCACCACAGCGCACTCCGGGATGCCAGAAACACAACCTAGCCCAAGAGGAAGTTCAATGACCCCCACCACCCTTAAGGTTGTGTCCCTCAGGCTCTGCTCCAAACGTTGCAATACTGCCCCACGTTTCTCACCGGACACAAAGAAGTCCGTCTTGGTGGAGAGTCCTTTGCTACGAGCATATAGGCATCTGGCGGACTTGAGCACTCTTTCGCCCAGTGTCTAATCATTTGCACTGCTTTTCTGCCTCAGGCGCGCGGTACAGCCATGTAGCGTTTGAACAAATGGCGAGCGAACGATGACCAATGTCAAGTCTGGTCCAGTTCCAAAGCTCAAACCCAATGCAAACATGGGCGATTGACCATGGCTGTCTTGACACGTGCCATTTCTATGGTTTTGGTAGCCACACCATCAGAAAACCAGAACTTGAAGAGTGTTGTTGGTTGAACACCTTCAGAATAGGGTTTGCCTCCAAAAAAACAACTTCTTCCTCTGCCCCGCAGCTGTGGCCGTTCATCCAGGCCTGTGCCAGCAAAAGAAAGACGCTGGCCTGGCGGGCATCCAGGTCATGGGGCGCCATAGTGCGTGCGCCATGAGGAGCAAGCCACCATTTTTATACGACTTTAGCACTTTTGTGACATACCCCAAAGTGCAGAGGACGAACACAAGGCCCAAACAAGAGACAGACAATTGATGGGCAAGAGAACTGGAGCAGCACCTGAGTGCATGAATATTTCCTGCATGGGGGTATCCATATCCCCGTGCTACTTTAAAACCATCAAACATGTGGGAAAAGGGTGCAACAAAAACTGTCTTGCCTTTGCAGGCCCCCTGCTTTTGAGACATCAGAATGGCATTGGTCAAAACCCTGCCTTGAACCCATCTAACACTGCTCTTGACAGGAAAAGCATATATTGAATGGTTGGTCCTCCAAAAGAAGGTTCACTCGGGTTCTTGGCTTTTAAAACCCTTCACTTTGGGAGTCGTGCTTTGATTTTGACCCACATCCCAACGAACGACCCACATATCCAGCAACACGGAGCAACGCATGCCACCACGGCCCCGCCTTCATTGCCCGCACCGAGCGGAGATCGGATCGCCCGGTCTCGTCGCGACTCGTCGCTGGGAGCCGAACTACCCACGTTGGTTTCGCAGTTGGTTTGGCCAGTACAGTTCTGGGTGTAAATAACACCCGGCACTCGAAAAAATAGGAATGGCATAAAGAACTCTGACTGAAAATGACCACTGGAACAGCAACGTTGGAGTATGGTCACCTGAATGGTAGTCATTCTTCGCTGGATTATTCAGAAGCTCTCAGATGGTGTTTTACCTCTAGCTGGACTCTCCGTTGCCAATGCAGCACAGGAAGCGAAGCCCTTCCTGGGTTCACTCGAATCAGTGCCATGGAAGTCCTCCTCATTGAGTCTGGGAAATCTTAATGGTCCAATTTGCTTTTCCTGTCAAGTAGGGCCCTTCTGCCTACAGAAGATAGCATTAAGCATTCAAACTAAAGCATTGGTACATGTTCAGGTAAAATTAATTTTGAGGTTTGCAATGTGACGTGCAGTATATCAGAATGTCTCATCCAGGGATGTTAAGTCCCACTGAAACTAGTTTTGCCTCATCGAGCGCCAATGGATAGGAAACGTCCTTTGTCCTTCAATTTCTGTGTAGTGCTAGTTTCAAGCCTTTAACAAGCTGTCCACATCATTCAATGTTTCTGAAAACAAACGAGTTCATCATTTTTTCAGCATTGCATATACCCAACCAAAGGCAACACAAAACGTCTAGCCTCTAATATAGACCTTTGGACTGCATGTCGTGTTCCACATCCCAGCAGCTGCCCTTTCTCATACAGCCCCCGCGCCGGTATTCTGTTGCAGCATGCTCTTGGTGAATTGACGGCCAACAGTCAAGAATGCGTCTTAAACCAAAGAATCAGCTCCATACCCACTGTGGTAAGTTTCGTAAGTTTGCACATGTCGCTTCACCTTCATCAGCTCCACAGAATTCATCTGCTCTTGAACGACGTGTCTGAGCAAGCATGTGAAACCAGGAATCAACCATCAAGGCTAAAGAGCAACTATATATAGTTGGATAACCCAACACCTGGCCCAAATTGCTGGCAAGCCAGGTCTACTGAGTCACTATACTGCTTCCGGAAGTACTTCTTGAAGTGAGTCCCTCAAAGCATCCCGGAAAGCCACAACCTCAGGCAATGGAAGCAGCGTGGCAGAAAAATGAAATCAAGGCTATGCGGCCCATGTTCATCTGGGCACTTGCCCACAATGGGCGCCCCCGTTCCCCAAACCTAGTTGGTACTGTGGACCTCCCTAGCTTAACAAGGGAAATGAGGCACCTGAAATCATGGATAGTCTCCTCCCCAGATTCCTAATCAGGCGTCCCAAGGGCTGGCATGACTCATTCCAGGTTGCAAAAGTTTAGATGAATGTATCTAAAGATTGGTGGACCCCGAACAGGGGAGAGACTGCAGATCCAAACCCATCTCAAAATACCTCCCCGTGTGATTCCTCCCCTGGACCTCGTGCCAAGTCTTTCTCCTTGGGCCCGAAGAAATCTGCCAGGACTCCAGTTGGACCAAAAAGACTCGACTGGCAAACCCTGGCAGGAATTCAGAAATTGATGCTACGAAAAGGTGACTGATCTGTAGGAACTCTCCCAACGTGCTAAATCCAAGATGACGATCGGTGGGAGGATCATTGCCACCGCAGCTTCTAGCTGATAATTCGGCGTCACATCTGTTGCAGGTCCACAACCCTAGAGGACATGGAACTACCATTGATCATACAATTTGTCAAAAGCTCCATGCCCACAAACTTCTGTTGGACAATTCCCACTATGGCTGGAACACAAACACTCTCAAAGACCTGGCCAACTACAACACGCACGCACATACTTCAAAAATTGAAACTTTCACAAATAAAGACAACATTCTGTGGCGAAACCCACTTGTTGAACCATCCTCAGAAGCAAACCTGGCCTGTTGTCTCAAGGTCTCGAGATTGTTTGCATCGCTCCAGACTCCAGCCTCTGAGACCACTCCTGACCGAGAAGCTTGGTGGCCTGGGAAATGGCACATCGCCCGCCGATGGAACTGATCTAAAACCGCTGCTCCATGTGGACCCTATAAGCTTTCAAATGATGGTTGACTGTTGAGCTTTGCAAATCGCTCAGATACAAAGTTCCCTTGGGAATTAGCAAAGAACAGCAAAGCTAGCATTGGTTTTAGTGCGAACTGGTCACACTTGGCACACATCCTCTTTTGGGATGCAGCTGACTTGACATCCATGCCCAAGGTCCTGTGCTTGCCGATCTGGCTGCCACAGCACTTGCCGCACGGCAAAGGCTTGTACTACAAGAGTTGCAAAGAATTAACCAGTCCACATGCGGCATGCTCGAAGAGTTTTCAAAGGCCATCGCCGTGTCTCCGGATCTGTTGTCCTGCTGGTACTGCCCTGCCCACAAGCTATATTTCTTTGTTGCATGTAGCGCTGGCTCTTGAGACGTTCAGCCTCAAGCGCACCCTTGAGCTCTCCGATTTTCCGTTTGTGCTCTTCAGCCGTGCTTTGCTCATGGTGCAAGGCAGTTCGAACCTTTTCTAACTCATCATTCTGCCGTTGAAGAACCTTCTCAAGCGCATCCTTCTGTGCTTTGGGTTCCAATTCCTGCACCCTTTGCTCCAAGGACTGCTTTTCAGAAGTAAGCGTTTTTTCTTTCTCTTTGAGGGTGTTCTTCTCTTGGGCCAATCTCTGTTCGACGCGCTCAATTCTTTTCTCAAAATCTTTGAGTTCAGATCTGGCATTCATCTCTTTCTCCTCAAGCCTTGCATATTTAATCTCCAACAAATCTCTCTGTTTTTCAACCTGACTTTTCTTATCTTTCAGCTCCTGCGCAGCCTCCTCTGCAGATTCTTTTTGTTGTCTTAACTGTGCTGCTTCCTCTGTTCGTGCCTCGCATTCCTGTTGCTTGCTGTCCTTACATTCATCCAAACACTCAAAGAATCAATGCTTGCACGCTTTCAAGGTCAGTGATGGAAGCATATAACGAAAATGACAAGTCCTAAGTATAAATAATATGTAACTAGTGTAGTTTTTAGTATAACCGTTGCAAGTGTCTAGCCGTTCACTTTTGCGATGTAGCTCTTTGTCTTTCTCATCCAGCTCCTCTTCAAGGTCCTCCTTTTGCTTTTTCAAGTCACTGATAGTCCTGTCCATCTTTCTTTTCTGATCCTTTGCTTTGTTCAGCTCTCTTTGGAGCTTCTCTCTGTTCCCTTCCTCTTCAGTCAGAGCACCACTCAAACGTTCACGTTCCTTGTCGACTTCCAACAAGCTTCTGCGCTTGTGCTTAAGGTCCGTCGCGGTTGCGTCAAAGTCTTTTTTCAATTTCTTATGATTGCGATCTGCTGCACGGGCTTCAGTGTCTTGTTTGAAAAGCTTGTCCTCCAGTTCCATGAGAGCATACGTTTGATTGATGATATCTTCTTTGCGAGCTGCAAGTTCTTTTTCAAGCTGCTGCTTTCGTTCGTTCAATTCTTCGTTCATCTTCTGTGCTCGATTCTCGTTCTCTTGCAGGACTTTCAGCTCATCCTCCCGATTCTTGAGCTTCTCCTTGCAATCCTTCAGTTCCTTATCTGTCCTAAGGAGCTTCTCTTTCCATTCTCTTTCTTTGCTCTGGCTTGTCTTGTCCAAAGCTTGAGCGATCGAATGCAAGGGTTTCTCGTCCGGGCGGCGGCCCCAAGCCCAAACGATGGGTCCTATCCCAAACAAACCCAATGCATGCAATATCAAGATGATGAGGCGACCTGATCTAAACAGCGTTGCATCTGCGCTCCAGGATATGATGGAGCCCAGAGCTTGATCTGAGCTCCAGGAGACGTTCAACCAGTCCCTCATCGAAGAAAAGATTGCGCAAAAGAGCCATTTGCAGGTGGAAGACCCCCAAGTATTTGGGAATAATTTGTCAAGAAATTTATTTGGTTCTCGCAGGAACTCGCCTGCTATTCGCAGGAACTCGTCTGCTAAGTACTCCAATGTCAGCTTGCCGACAAAACAGCAAATCGTGACAGCAGCAACTTTCAAAGGCTTTCCATTAAGGATCAAGGACACCCAAGACTTCTTCTGAGCAGACTCAACGGGGTTCTGCGAAACGATGATTGAGTATCCTAGCCCTTCTGGAGTAACCTGCACAAAACCGCTCTCGCGAAGATCCTCCATGTCGTGAAGCAAAGGTTCCATAGTCCAAGGACTCTGGTTTCCGTGAGACTCGACGGGGACCTGTTTCTCTTTGCCGTCCTCCATCGTGAGCCGAAGCAAGAGAGGATTGGGTCTTCTTTCACCCCGATCTGCTGGAACATCAGCACGCTGTCCACTTTCTGTGTCTGAAGGAGTTGCCTCACATGCTCGTCGTGATTGACAGAAAAGGCAAACTTGCCGTGGAATAGCAGGCCGCCCCCCATGCACTATAGCAGTTAATTATGTGCTGCAAGCTTCACCAAAAATATACTGCTACATTAATCTGAGTCTACATCACATGTAGCACAACTTCCTGCCCCCAGGACCGAGACCCAATACTTCTTGAAGTGTTGGGGAGCAATAGCCGAAGCCCATTTGTCACCACCAAAGTCACCGCCAGCACCTCCTCCGGTGGCGCAGGCCAAACGGCCTCAGTGCTGCCTTCACTGCCCCCGGTGCCCATGGGTGCAATCGACGTTGAGGACGACATGGACTCTCTGGTGATGTGAGCTGAGCTGAGTTGGCTATGGCACACGCGATGAGTCCGCAATCCTGGTTAGCCCAGCTCACGGCCCTTAATGCTGGCATGGAACATGACAGCTCTGTAGCAAACTCTCTATCCGTTTCTGCATGCGCTTGACTCAGAAACTCAAAACCATCTGTTGACTTCTCAAAACTTAGTCTGCAAACCCAGGAACACCAAGTGCTTGGACCAGATTCCAGCAGTGTGCCCCCTTGGGTTCCCTGCTCAAGTCCGCCACAAAAGATCGAAATCTGCAAAGTGGAACAGTGGAAAGGGCCTCAAGCGGAACAGCGTTCAGACAAAGCTGGACAATGTGACACAATGTGAGATGGATTTGGACAAACTCAGGCACCCTCTGACCTTTCAATTGGAAGTGAGTGAAAAGTCGAAAGAACTCAACAACCTCCTTCTGCCATTCTGCCCCAAAAAACACAAATGAACTTCCACTGTCACCTAATCCCAGAAGGAGCCTGTGAGTCCGTGAGGTGAAGATCATTTGTCCGAAATTTAGGCCCATGGACCATGGCTTCATGGGTTGACGACTCATAAGTGGGTTTTCCAGACCCCGAGGTTAAATTGAACTCTGGGCCCAAAAAGGAGCCAATAGATCCAAAACCGTAAAGTCTGGAGGGTCTCCCTGTTCAGGTTGACCAACCCATGAAGTCAGATAAAGGAAGTTGGTCGAAAATGATTCAAGAAGGAATATGGAATGGGAGAGGATGAGACAAAAAAACATCTATTATATAATCATATAACTACCTGCTTATAACTGCTTTCATCGTCTAACTTGTGTCCGTCTAGCTTTGAAGGATGCTTCTTGTCCATCTAACTTTCATGCTGTTGCGTCCAACCCTCGGTTCCAGAACACATCCAGCGACGTCGGTCCGTCGTCGCAGGACCTTTTGTGACAAGACCCGATCACGCGGGTGGCTTTCTTGCTCAGGAAGCCCCACCAAAACATACCAAAACCCCGTTCGCCGCTCTCCTATACTCACAGTTTGCTCGTAGGTTCCAGGAGTAGTTACGTTCCAGTCCGCCAAGAACCGTTTGCTCTGTCAGAACAGTTTGGGGCATGCCATCGAAAAGGAACAGTAGTGTCAACCTCGTCTGTTGGGGATCGCTGATTCTGACATTTTTGAGAGAGGTCCGTCTTGAGACAAAGCTGCATTAAATGAATCTGTGTTGGGGTTCTACGTACAGTCAGCCGGGTTTGGCGCTATTGGAGGCAAAAAGGCCTGGGCTGGTCAAGAGTCAGGTTGCTCTTCTAAGACCTTTCGAACAAGTGGACCTAAACATACCTAAACCATTAGCCTGACAGGAAATCAAATGTCACTTGCAAGGTCAGCAAACAAAACACGCAAGCGCAATGTGTCTTTTCCGGGACGCAGAATACAGTTTGCGCGGCTCGCGAGCTGGTGAAATAAGGAACTGATGAACTTCACCTGGTTGTCTTCACCACTTCGAGTGAACAATGCTTCGCGAGCCACCAAAGGAGGAGAAGTCCTTCCCGACACTGCAAAGTGAGATTGCCAGGCAGGCGTTCATCCCGCGCTCCGGATCTAGAGCGATTCACTGATCCGTTTCAGCCAAGCCAGACCGGTTCGCAGTTTTGGGCGGGAAAAAGAAAGACAGTTTCGGGCGCTGCATGTGGCAGCGTATGTGTTTGATCCGGTGGTAGGGGATGAATCTGGCTCGAAGAAAAGATCTTCAAAACTCGAGCTCGGGTCAAGAGATGCGGCTTCAAGCTGAAAACATCGGAGATGGACTTGTTTGACTTGAAACCAAGCAGAAAGATGCTGCTTTCGTGTTAGTATAGGAACAATCCAAAACATGTCAAAACCATAAAAATACACACAAAAACATGAGCCCTTTCTATGAAAACAAAGGTCAAACAGGTTCTACAGGATGCAGCGCTGACAGCATGCTTGCTTCAATCCAAAAACTGCCGTTGTCGCGTCACCTCCTTCAAGACATCTCCGAAGTATTGGCTGCTTTGTTCACTCCACGTGGGGGAGTCTTTTTTCCGGGCTCCAACCTTTCAGCCGAGAAAAGTACCCAAACGGCTGGAGTCCAGCGAACTCAGCTTCAGCAGCGCTCGAAGCATCAAAGCGTTGAGTGTTGGGTCGTCCGCCTTGCAGTTCTTAGACCAACAAAGGAACAACTGTTGTGATGTGACATGGTCACGATCCATCGTGGAAATCCACAAAGCTGGAGTCTATCACTTCGATCTGAAGTCCAGAGTCCAGTCTCTCTCGGCCAGTCCAAAAGCTCTTTTGGAAGCACCAGGCTGGTTCAAAAGTCATTTGGAGGTTTCAAGTACTGTGCCTTTCAGCCTTTGTCGCAACATCACACGTCGTGGAGCCATGTTCTCCCTCCTGCCTCCTGCGTCCACTTTCAAACCACACAGCTATGGTGCCACACAATCCGCGAAAAGGCACCACCTGCTGATCTTTAGCCACTCGGAAGCGGCGGCTTCAAAAGAAAAACGCTTCGCCGTTGAGTCGTTGAGTCCGCTTTGCCTAGGGCGGAGAGCTTGGCTAGGCATGGCCTCTGCAAACTTCAACCTTGGTCGCTCTTCCCCCCCCCCAACCCGTGGCTTTGCCCCCTACTGCCTGCGCAAGCCTGTGGCTTGCCAAAGTCTGAAGTTTGCTGAGTCCGTGGAGCTACCGCCCTTTGCCACGAAGAATCAATATGTAGCCCGTGAGGGAATGAGAAGCAAAACTGATCGTTTCAGCGTTTGGGAATCCAATTTGATACTACTTTCTGTTTCAGGCACTAATTCTGTGCGGCCATTCTTGATTGCTTACACTTGCATGCTCAAACTCCTTGTGTTCGTACCCTGACCATCTTTGCTTTCTTCCTTTACCCTCACGAGAGTCGCCTTGTCTTCCGACTGCAAGAGCCGAAGAGAAGAGGCATCTTCGTCCAAGATGGCTCGCCCCCATGCTCCAAAGAAAGCGCGATATGGCCAGAACCAGCGAGACATAGCAACCACAGTAGCTGTGTGCCCAAATGAAGTGAGTGAGTGAAACAATGATTAATATAGTTTAACTATTAGACTATAATTATCTATTGAAAGAACTATGATCTATTCAGAGCTAACTTGCTGTCCTTCCTGTTTCTGGCTACATCCGATTAAGAGCTTGCCACTGAGCCTCGGCATCGCTACTGACCAGGTCAAAGGTATCGTTTGGACCCGGGGTCAGTAAAACTTCTCTGCCCAGAGTGATTGCCAGTTGCACTCTGGGGAAGGGGTGTTGCACCCTCCACCTTGAAAAAACCAACGTTGCCACTGCGTGAAACTGAATGCAAACAGCTCGCAGTTGCAGCATTGAAAATGCAAAAATGCCTTGAAAAAGAATGGACACGTCGCCAAGTCGCAAAGATGTGTCCAGAGATGAACCTGAAAAGCTCCAAGCTCCGGTTCCCATGCCACAGCAGAACTGGGCCAAGGTTCGGGGAACCCCTCTCCGTCTGCGATCCGGACCCACCGAACCTGGGGGGTTTCGCTCCCAGGCTCGGTCGGAAAGGGCCGTTCAACGACCCGGTGATGCTCCATGACCATTGTGCATCACGTCATCACCGTGTGCACAAAACCAGTGTTACATTGATGGTGTTCACCATGTGTGAACAAATTAGTAGATTCATGAGTTTTTGCATTCACAGTGCTGTTTTCATACCGGATCGCAGCTTGGAGGGTCAAATCGCTGTCCTTCCGCCCTGTGCTCAAAGTGAATATAAAACCGGACTGCGCGGAGCGCCGAAAAAAAACAAAAACAGCCGCCCGCGAAACCCTTTTCCAGTGTACGGTTGAGTGGTGCGCAGGCCGTCTATCTTTTCTTTGGTATCTTTTGAGCTCGAGGGCGCGGAAGCCGAACATTGACAGCCGAACACCTCGCCCATCCGACCTCATGCCCATCCTCGCGAAAAGGCGCCGAGCTGAAATCCGATGTTCGCGGCCACGGCCGTGGTAAAATAGAGAAACCTGTGGGCGAGGGGCGACGGTTGGGCGAGGGGATGTCTCCGGGGGAGGCCGCGCGAGCGGAGCCGTTTGCCTGCTGATCGGTGCGCTGCGGTGTGTGAAAAACATGTGCATATAAGCCTTCAGCTGATGGTTCTGGGGGGTTGTTGGAAGAGTGTCTGCAACGGCCAGTCAGGAGGCCCACATGATGTCCTACTCTCCAGGTATTTGGATGGAAGTTTCTGCTGGAAATAAGAACCCCAACCGGTATACACTTCGTGTAATACCGTGTAATGTAATCTTCATAAGCTTAGGGCGAAAACACCACCGAGAAGCTTTTGCACAAAGCCCAGCGTCACACAGGTGTCCCACATGAAGAAGCCACATTCGCCTCAGGCGCGGCAAATCGGCGATCGAAGCAGCTCCACTTCCGATGGACGCATGGGGCATGGCCGCTTCCAAGACCAGCTTCCTTGACCAGGTATCACTTCAACGAACAAAAAATAAAAATAAAAAGAGATGTGTGCATTGTTCGAGGCTTTGCCACCTAAGAGCATCCACTGGCGATGTTCTTGAGGCTGAGATCACGCCATCCCTCGACTTATGAGGAGAGTTGAGTAATGCCTCCTGGATGTAGTTAAACATGACCAATACATGACCACTTCAGCTATACAGGCATGCAACTTTTGCATTGTCGAAGTTAATCCAATCCCTTAAGAATTGGGACATGAAGAGCTGCACGTTTGCACAAGTGGATGACACACCTGATGGATGAAGGAATCTTTGTGATACACAGAACCCTGTGAATAGTATCTTCTCTATCTCAGAATGGTATGCTTACCCGTTGCAAGCGACCACATGCACCACAGACCTTGTGCCCCGACCGTCGACCCCTCTTCTTCAAAAGGTCTCCCAAGAAGTTTCGATCCGCCAGCAGTCGTGTCAGTCTTGCCAATATAAACGCGTTATGATTCAATCACCTCGACAAAAGGCCCTCTTGTTTTCTGTCTACTGACCTCTATCTCGCCAAGGTCTTTCTGTTGTTCTTTCTTTTTGCTGTTCTTTTCTTCATGTCTTTGTGCGTTCAGTGTCCTAATACTTGACGCCTGGCATGAATTCCTTGCCAATATGCTCATATGCAAAAACATGGCCAAGTCCATGTACTCCGCATCCTCCTCTTCATCATCCGCTTCCAGCAACATCACCAGAGATGGCAGTCGGTTGCCTCGGCGCAGCCCATCGCAATATCACTTCCAGACCTTGTTTCTAGAACCTCCTAGATGATGCCCGTGTGAAAACTGATGGCGGCCATATGTTGGATTGTGTATACAGTCCTCATGTATACTCCATATGTTGGGTGTGCGACGAGTTCTAGTTAAGAATCAGTAGTGGAATTCGGCATCTCCTGAGTTCGTCAATTCAGCACTTTCCAAGGATTCTGCAGCCACGCCACAAGCTGTGGTCGTGGATGCATTGGTCCACAGGACACCCGGCAGGAAGAGGGCCACGGCCAAGGTGGCAAAAATCTCCTCGTCCCACCTGCAACGGTGATGAATCGGATGCTGCAAAAACCGATTCGACCGATTCCGGTCGGTACCCTGGCAGCTTGCGGACTTCATGGCGGCGCTGACGTGGTCCCTGCACGGTGGGCTTTTGGTTCACGAAGTGCCGAAGCAAATCGACTCGGAGGCTCCGTTGGAGCGGACCACGAGAAATTGGTGTTGCAAAGGTTTGGAGTCCTCCAAGTATGGGGACGTTGACCGAGAACTTGATCTCCACAAGCATATATTCAACATGTATTCCAATCATTGTCATCAATGACTGGTGACGGGAAAACCGCACCGTGGCTTTTGGCCCGGCTTGCGGTCCGCGCCGCTGCCCCTACCCCTGGCACCTGTGGCTGAGGTCGATGAGCGCTGAGAGGATGAGCATCACGATGGTGATCCCCAAGGCTGAGAAGCACCGCTCGAACGCCCGCGAGGTCTTCCGGAAGAGTCCGCTGATGCCTCGGCAGCCAAAAGAAAGGGAGGTCTTTCCAGAGTATGAAGGAGAAAATGGAATGGCAGGTGTCTGCTTTGACGTCTTCTTCTGTATCAGATTCGTTTGTCTCACTCTTGTCATCTCTTGTCTCCCGGGCTCAGTTTGAGACCAAGAAAAAAATTGCTTTAAAAAAATGCCAGTGTGGGATCGTAGTGAGCAACGATCAGCCGGCTTATGTGTTGCGGCTTCCAAGAAGTAAACTATCTGGGTCTAACCAACTGGCGCAACTTCACACTCAAGAAAAAAGGAGGTCTGGTGGGGGTTGATTGCTTGCAGGTGGCCGCAAAGTCATGAGCCAGGGGCAAAGAATGAAGATGAAGGAAAGATCGGAGGTCCACTGATGTCCGTTGGATAGATTCGGATAGGTCATGTGTCTTTCGTGGGGCTGCTGTCTGAGACCTTTGGCTTCAACAGCACAAGACCCACACAACTCGTGTTTCTTTCAGGGATGATAGTTGACCCTGTTTCCAAAGATCGTCCGGTTCGGTTTCATGAACTGCGAAAAGCCATTCAGCAGGTCGGGGGCACCGTCCGGTCGTTTTCGGGGTCGTTGTTTCTTGGGAGGCTCGGTGAAGCGAAGCTGAGCCACCGGTCCGAGCCACCGGTCCGAGAAACACCGGTCGCGGTCGCGGCGGTCTGGGCAAAAGGAGTGACCAAGCAAAATCTGGTCCCATACGGTTCCGAGCGAAAGGAGTTGTGGGTTTGGAAAGTTCGTCTGTTTCGAAGGCTAAGGAGTTGCAAAATCTATGTCCCATAGTTCAAAATGCACTTCATGAAACTGCCATAGTTCGCTGGGGCTTGGGGGACACCCATGTAGGCATAGATTCTCGACTCGATTCCATACATGGCGGGTCTGGGCATTGCACCACTGGAAGATCACTTTTTGATCGCTGAAGAGGGGTGTTGCTTTATGGGAGATGAAACACCCTTAGGAATGAGCAAGCCACTGAAAGACTAGTGACTCTCCGGTAGTTGTGGGTCCCACCTGCCTATGGTGATGTTGTTCTACATTAGTTCTCAGAGGCAGCTGAGACTGAGAGCAGGTCTTCCGAGAACTTATGGGAACCTGGCAACCTGGGCAAAAGAACATCCATCCAACCAATCAGAGCTATGTCAAACAACCGCCTTTGTAGGGCCTTGTAAATCCCTGCATGAGCGGAGACCAGAACATGAAGTTCCAAGAACACCTCTTTCCTCTGCAACGGGGTCCCTGTAGTCATCCGAACTCCACGTCGAACTCAACCCGTCTTGGGGTACATGTGGCAAACTCACCCCCACCAAATTCATGCTAGGACAGTGCGCAGTACCGCACCTTCGCCAAGCCACGTTTCCATTCATGTTTGGATCGGATGCAGCTGAAGTCCCGGCGCAGCACCGACGCACTCCATGAGTTCACGATCAAGAGCATCGCGTGCGACGTGCGCACCTCTGCAGATTTCAACCCTGGATCCATGTGGGTGTGTATTTTAGGAGGGAAACACTGGTCGATGTTTCCTTTTTACAGCGTCGTTGCCCGGGAGGTCTCCCCCTATTTTGAGGTCTCCCACCCATGTACTTTTAGAATCTTAGAATCCACCTTTTGCAAGAATCACTACCAAACCCACATGGATTTTTTGGCTTCGAATCTCCATGTCGTTGAGAGAAAAAAAACGAACAAAAGGGCGACCTCGTGCGTCCCGACCTCGAGCACCGACGTCCTTTTCGTGTGTCCCGTGCAGAACGGAACTGGCCGGCATTTTTCGTGTGTCCCGAAGAGATTAAATTCGGAAGGATCAAAGAGAGGCACCTGACGAAAGATGAGGAGGGAAAAGGTACAAACATGTGAACAAGCAGAAGAAATGGGAAGGGTGAGGAAAAGACATATTCACACACAAGCATCGGAAAAAAAGAAAAGCGCACTGTATACCGATAGTAATATAGAATCTTTGCGGATATGGTGTTGGCTTTACGTCGTCCAGATCAATTGAAAAACTGTAAAGGCAATGAAAAAAGCTACAGTAGACAAGAATAGGAAGCAACGGAAATAGCAGGATTTAGAAGAAGATGACAAAAGAAGGAAAACACGGAGAAGGACAATAACAGTAGAGCGAAAAAACAAAGAAAGAAACAGTAGAGAAAAACTAGAGTCTAGCTTTCAGGTGTCGGCTGTAGTTGGGTCAAGCTGTTTTCAAAAAACCAGCCACCAGCTCAACCACAATGGGTAGAAACTGAGTAATTACGGTCATGAACTGACCAACACCAACCGGGAGCCACTTTCCACCCTACCCCATGTGAAGCTCGGCAACCGCTCCCCATGTCAGGACGTTTCCAAAGAAGCTACGTAGACTCTGTGTAGACCTGGCTGCTTTGGGTTTTGGATTTACATCGTACTTCGAATCAGAAAGCCTTCACCCATGCGACTCATGTTCTCCCCTGCGCCTGCCAGAAGCTCGCGACCACCAAAACCCCGGTGCCCAGGGAATACGCAGCAACAAAGGGCAAGCTGCCCCACCACCATCCGCCCACGTGCCACACATTCCAAGTGAACACCGCGAAGCGGCCAAGCAAGAGCGCAAACCAGAGTAGCAACCCCCAAACAGCATCCTCAGCGATGGAACCGTCACGGTGGCGCGGGTGGCTTTCGAAAGCTTCAGCAACCTTTTGCACCCAAAGAGACTGTGAAATGGCTGTGGATCATGGCACCCAGAGCCCCAAACCGAGGGTAGGTTGACCTTCCTGGTGTATTTTTTCCCTCCCTCCAACAAGGACCGGTGCCATGGATGGCGTTCTGGAAAGACCAGTGTCCTGCTTCCGAACCGGGAAAATTGTCCACTTCCGTGCTTGTTGGCGGGAGGGCCCCCCGGGAGGGTATATCTTGAAACAGCATTCAAAAAACTAAATGTGCTTAGCTCGTCTTTCCAACCTCAGCTGTCCAAGGGCCTCGTGACCTCATAATGTTTGAGCACATAATGCAGACTGTTGACTAAGAACCCCCCCATTTAGATTGTAAAACCTTTGCGTACGGAGGGGTTGTTAATCAAGAGTCTACATTAGCACATCTCCCAACAACTGCTTGGCCATCGACTCTGAACCCCCATAGTTGATGGTCCAACCACGAAATGAGACCCAGACCATCCCAGACCTTATCAATTGGAGGTCACCAGTCATTTTGTTGAAAAGACTGTACTAAGTATACTAGTCAGTTTACCAAGATTAGCAGACTCCCAAATTGGACTCACCAGCTACGTTCTCAGGCTTTCAGAGTAGATGCCGCAAATATGCGGAGGATGTGGCTCAAAAGACCCCGGATCTGCCGGAGGGTTCCCGGATACTACACACATATGTTCAGACCTTGCCGGATAATGGGTAGCACACGAGAGGCATCTATATATATATACTTGCAGACTTATACTTAGAACATCAATGGTTTTCCAAAATGGAAATTCCTTTACTTAGAACGTCGAGCTTAGAACATCCAGTGCAAGCACACTTAGAACATGGACCGCAAGCACTCCTAGAACAAGAGAAAACAGCACACTTAGGACATATCGCTGTCTCCAGCACCACACCAAACATGCCACCGCTCTTAGGTTGGAGGCCATCGCTCTTGAGTTGGAGGCCATCACTCTTAGGTTGGAGGCCATCGCTCTAAGGCTCCACAACTATTCCATCTCAATGTCCCAAACACATTAAAAATATTGTCTAAGTGTATGTGTTGGACTATGTTCTTAGTGTAGGTGCGAGGGCCTGGGATGTTCTTACTCTAGGGTTAGAACATCTGCTGGCACATACTCTTAGAACATCGCGACCTATACACTTAGAACTTCCCGCCTGTGAAACAAAAAAAAATGTTGTTTCCAAAATATCTTCTAAGTGTATGTCTTACGGTAGTAGTGACATCTGGGGTGTGCAAAACTAACAGGGAGACCACAAAACCAAGGGGTTTTGGTCAAGTCGATGTTTCTTCTTCCAGGGGCTCTTCCAGCCTCTCCAGACCGGTCTCCCCATTTGTTCGCCACACCCCCATTGAATCAACCACCCGACGTCGAAACTGCGAAAGCTCCCAGGATCGGAGCAGCTCCAAATTCTCCAGGCGGTGGCCAAGCCATGCTGTTGACAATAGGAGGTCAACTCTCCCAAGCTGGTCTCCAACAGCTCTGTCGTGGCCTGGAAGGGGTCCCTGACCCCCGTTCGGCCCGTCCACCCGGTTTTCCACGACCGAGGACGGCCACGTGGGCGAAAAGGTGAGCGAAGCGACCAACGACGCGCCCGAAGAGGAGAGCCTACTTGACACACCGAATGCCGAAAGAAACAAAGACTTTGTGAAACAAACAGATAGCATTCGTCATGAAAGCATTCATTTGGAGTCCTGATAGCTCTTGAAACCGCCCCAGCTGCTCAGGACCATGGAAGCTCCCAGGAACAGGAAAATGTCCACAGCCAGCGCCGGCCAGTGGGCCTCCTTAGGTTGGCTTGATCTTTGGCCTTCGACCGGACACCTAAAAAGCTTTCCTTGCATAAGTGGAAGAAGGCCTGCTCTTGCTTGGACAGGTAGCCTTTGAGGTGACTTCGTCATATCATCTCATATCAAGTCATATCCATGTTCCTGAAAAAGGGCCATGTTTGCTCTAGATCCAAGCCACTGCATGTAACTCGCCATCCAAGACAACCTCTCTCATGCGGCAATGGCCAAAGCGCATCACAGAGTAGATCACCTGCAACGGCCATGGTGAGCTCGCATGAAACAGCTATCCGCAAACACGCCAGCCACCAGCTGCGCAATCATCTTTTACACAAATGGGCATTCACATGAAACCCCGCGCGACAGCTTTAACTGAAGATGCTTCAGTCAGGCAAAAGGTGTTATACATATAAATAGATATATATTATATATATAATATATTCTTCTTAGATTCTTAACTGTGTTCGGGTCAGCTGCAAACCAGGTGTGCGAGCGTCAATTATCACACCCGTTTAGAGTATCAAAAAGAACCTTCTGGGTGTGAACCGCACACAGCTTTCGCCCAGTGGGATAGGTTTTTCAAGGGCGGGTGGGTCTTTTCATTTTCAACATCTGGCGATCGTCGCGCTGCTGGAGATTGTCTGGCTCAGTGGGTGTGAGGAATGGACCGACCAAAGAGTGGTGGCTCACTCCAACTCCGATGCTCAGGGAATATGCGGTGGTATGCGGTGGCATCTACTCGCTTGTCGTCAGTTCTTCTCAACTTCCAGGAGAGTGCAGTTGTGCTTTTGCATTTGCCCTGAACCCTTTGTGTACTCACGCTTAACATCGCTTAACTAACAGCGTCAAAGGAAAGAGCGCAAACCTTCAAACACAAACCTCCATGACAGGGATTGCAAGCCGAGCCACAGCACAAAGCAAGAACAAGATCAGCAGCCAGTGATAGAGACGTGAGACTAACCTGCGACACTGGCTTTTCCAGTCCATCTCAAAGCCAATCTCGAATAAGGGAATAAGTCCCAGTGCCTTTGATGCGTAGCAGGCCACAAAAATGTTAAGCCGATGAAGATTCAGCCACCACGAGCTCCAAGAGTCTGAATCATAGACCTGACGAAATCTGCAAACAAATCGCAGGGGTGACATCTGCAAATACACTTCAGTAGAAAGCCATTACCATTACCTGTGATCAGCATCTCCAAAAATGTTTCCTGCAATTAGACATTTGTAGACAACCAGTTGTGGATCAACTAATCCCTAAACCCTCCAAATCAAAAGGAAACACAACCTGTAAACCTCAAGGAATAGACCCACTCAATAGCCCCGCCCACTCAAGTCTACAAATCAAAAAAAGAAACGCCCATCCCTCCCAGTCTCCCCTCCTCCTCCTCCTCGACTGAAGCGGCATCCTCATTCGTTATCTCTTGGAGGGTATTGGCACTCTTGGAGGCCGTCCTGCCTTTGGACCTTTCTTCCACCGGCGATTGTGTATCAGAGCGGCGATTGGATAAAGTCGCAGTGAGTTCTGCCTCTCGCACCTTGAAGACTTCGGACAAATTTCCTAATGGCAACGGTCGTCGGAGTGACGAAATGCCCAAAACGGCCACGCGTGTCTTCTTTCTGGGGCACCACTGACCTCCAGGGTGACCAAGGGCACCGGTCCTCACAAAAAAGACACTATAGTTCGAGCAGCCGCACCGTCAGAGGCAGATTGGAAGAAGGCAGGGCACATGTATTGACAAAACGAGCCTGACAAACGCTGCCTGACATGTGCACCGATGCAGTGTTCAAACACTTGTTCTTGCATCAAAAATGGCATGTGTTCTGACACGCCATCTAGCACAAAGCCTGGGAAATGTTCAGGAATATGTTCTGACGTCCTTGTTGGCTTGCTTCTGACATGACATATCTTCAGGCATGTACTTCTGACACGCTCTCCCACCAAAATGGCACGTGTTGTCATATATGTTGCGACTTCGGTTGTGATTTGTGTTCTGCCATGTGTTCTTCCCATTTGCTCCCTATCAAACCCACCACTTGTTCCGATATGACATATGTTCTGACATCTATTCTGGCATATGACTTAGGCATTCTCAAATGCATCTCTCCGACATTGCAAGTGGCATATCTTATGACATCCTTTCTGGCATTCTACCTGGCAAATATTATGATACCCTTTCCGGCATTCTATCTGGGATATGTTCCGTCATTCTTTCTGGCATATCTACCTGGCGTGCATTCTATCTGGCACATCTTCTGACATCCCTTCTGACATTCCTTCTGGCATATCTTCTTGCGCTTTGATGTCAATTTTAAACTGGCATACTTCTGACATTCTGTCTGGCATTCTATCTGGAATCTTCCAGCAAACATTCGGACATTCCATCTGGAATGGCACACGCGTGCCCAGGTCCATGCGTGCCCAGACCGAGCTCAAGCTCCCTAAAGTGCTCAGGCGCCTGCGCGCCCAGACCAAGCTACAGCTCCGGTCCGTGCGTGCCCAAACGGAGCTGGAGGTGTTCAGGTCCGTCCTGCTCCCTTTCGTGTTCAGGTCCATGCCCAGACGGAGCTTGAGCTCCCTATAGTGTTCTGGTCCGTGTGTTCCCAGACTGATCTGGAGCTCCTACAGCTGGCACTCGCTGTGACATCCAGATAGGAGGGAAGCAATGGGGAGGATGAGGACGAGGAGTTGCACATTTTATAAAAGCTAGAGACCCTCACCTGGCAGGTGGGGAAATACCAAGTTTAACTTAAACATGAAAGCTTCTAGTGCATATCGGAGCTATTGGCAAGGAAGGACTAGCTTTCATTTCTTCCCCAGCAGCTCCCTTCCATACTTGAAGCTTGCAACAAAAATCGAAATCCAAAGTCTTTACCGGGTGAGCAAGGCTTTGTTTGGTGGTCTTCCTGCTCAAAACCCGGTCTCCGACAAACACGTGACATGGAAGTGGAGAATCCCGTCATGGTGGCCATGATGTCGATGGATCCACTTTTAATCCATGTGACGAATTGGTCGGTTCGTGTATCCACTCTCTTCATATCATGCCAAGAAGGCTCCATTGTTCACAGCCTTCTCAAGTCTCTCGCTGGAGCCCCTACTGGCTCTGAGGCTGCCAACACTATTCACCGAGCAAGCCTGAGCCGAGGCCAATGGAAGGAGCTGAGTGAGCATCAAGCCTCTGAAAATCATAAAGTATTAGTATTAACAACAATTCAAGATGGAAATCCAAAACCTTCTAAACAGGGATGAGGGATAAGGATGGGTGAGGGGAATACACGAAGTCTGACTTCGTACTCTCATACTATTCGCGGGCGTGACCCCCCAACCAAACGCCTGAGTCCTGGCTTCCCTTGGTTTGGTTTGAGCCAAGAGTTTGGTGTGCTTCCCATGGAGTCTCGAGTCAGCGCTTCCTTCTTCGGAAGCTGTCCCGAAACTCGTCCTCCAAAACCTCCGGTTCGCGGGAATTCAAACCGTCGATGGATTCTGTTCTGCCCTTCACACGGACGGCTTCGATGTCTCAACCTCACCGCCCAGCGTCGCGGGATTTCTTCGGTGGAGCACCCAGGTTCCCAGAGGAATTCTGGGCACGCGCGGCGTGGTGCGTGCGGCTGGGCTCCTGGTCTCTTCGCCCGAAAAAGAAGGGGAACAAAAACACCAGCGGAACGGCAATGGCAAAGGTGAGTCGCCACTCCCAGGTGTAATGTAGACTGTAGACTGTAGACTTTTGATTAATACCCCAAAAAAATTGGATTGAAAAACCTCTGAGACATGGCTGAAAATGGTGGGTGGGTCTATTGGGGCACCCGAATTTAGAATCAGAACTTCGCAACAAGAACCTATGGGCCGAAGATCACCCACCGGACCAAGCTCTCTAGACGGCTAGTGATGGCGGGAGGGACAGTCAGCACAAAACGGTCCTATCCGTCTTTCAACCCCCCAAGCCTGAAGCAGCTTTACCATCCATGTCTGGGGATTTGTTCCTCACCAGTTTGCATTACGGGGCTTTGACAAACCCCTTCGGAGCTGCGTCGCCGAGACGGTGATAGCGAAGGCACCGACCGTCGTCGAACCCCCGAGCCGCCGGGAAGTTGCGGGTCCTGTTGTGGTATCGTCTCCTCGTCCTTGGAGAAAGTGGTCGATTCCTGCCAGCACTTTCTTTTGAACCCCCCCCAAAAAAAAGATAACAGAAAAGGACGTTATACGGGTGTGTGTTTTCCACGCCTACGAAAAGCGCCACTTTGGGCAAGTTTCCAAACAAATCGAAGAGAATGCAGCTAAGTTGGCAAGTTCGTGGCTCACGGACTTGTACAGTCAACAATTTTCCAGTTTCTGGACTTGCGTGACAGCATCAAAGAACCTGATCTGGGGGGGGTCGGCCAAAAAATATATACCCGCATAGACCCCAAAAGGTTTCAAAACGATTCGTTGCGACCAATGTTAGTCAAACATGATTTCTTGGTACGTCCTATCTTCTTCCCCAAGAGCAAATTGTTTTATCAATGATTCTTGTCGGCATCGACATCGCTAATTGTGCGGCCATAAGAGAAGAGGCAAGTGGGACAAGAGGAGGACAAGACCCGGCCACAGAGCGTGGCCACAGAGCCCGGCCACAGAGTTCAGGGGCGCGGCCAGTCAGTGTGGGGCCAGCTTTGTTTTCTAAGTTGGGGGAAGAGGAGGACAAGACCCGGACACAGAGCCGGGCCACAGAGTTCAGGGGCGCGGCCAAGAGAAGGACCAGAGGAGGACAAGAGACGGACAAGAGGAGCACAAGAGGAGGACAAGACCTGGACACAGAGCCCGGCCACAGAGCCAGGCCACACAGTTCAGGGGCGCGGCCAAGACAAGGACAAGAGGAGGACAAGACGCGGACACAGAGCCGGGCCACAGAGTTCAGGGGCGCGGCCAGTGAGTGTGGCCAGCCCTTTTGTTTCTAAGATAGAACCCCAACAGTAAACAGTGTTTTCCTCCTCAAGCTGCACGATCGCAGGCCCGGACTAATGCCTGACCACAGTGAGACACCAACCGGCAAACTACGAACGAAATGAGCGAGCGAAAAGGTTTCAAGGCATGCACGAACCAAAATGTCGAAACAGCCTCTAAGAGGGTGTGCATCAACAAAAGTGCTAATTAATCCGGGAAAGTAAGTACTACGAAGTGGTCCCTTAGCGGGATGCTTTGCAAGAAAAGCCTGGAAGGCGGAAACCGCAGCATGTTCAAAAACACACCTGGCCCCAATACCAGAGGCGCGAAAACAAGCGCCAAGACCCTACAGGGATCTCGAGAAGGCCACGCGATCGGCAGGGAACACGGACGATCCCAGGTTCTTCTCAAAGGTCCTAACCGTGTTAGCCATCATACGAATCTAAGCGAAGATAGGGGCAGGCTTGGCCAATTCATTACCTTTAACATTCCTTACGCAATAGGCCGATCTGGATTTGTTCTTACCTCCAACACTCAAGCCGATATCAAGGCCAGAATAGTTACGAAAGTTCCAAACAAGCTCAAGCCACGAAATGTTGCAAAGCTGAGGAGACTTAACATTACTATATACTCCATTTCAAGCAACGAATCCACTGCCAAAGCTTTTCCAGGTAGATGGAATCATCAAGTGTGAGTCACCCGACGGCGCGAGAGTGGGTAGGCGAACCACTGTCAACACACGCAAGTCGTCAGAACACAACGTTCCAACTTCTTTGGAAGGAGAGCCCTTCTTATTTTGGAGAAAGATTATATAAAGCACACCTGGTGTGAAACTCTGCAAGTTTAGTGGCAATTTCCTTGAGTGCAAAGTATTGTTCACTGACAGCATTGTGGAGAGAAAGAAACTCTGGTGAAAACAACTGAAGGGCGGCCTCGGCAGCTTCATCAGCCGTGAAGTTATGGTAGGCACGATAACGAGCCGTACCCTCAAGCTCTTCAAAGTCTAAGTGAGCTTTAACCTTTACGATCTCCAACTGAGGTGAGCGAGAGAGGTTCAGGGCTTCCCAGAAAGGCACCCAGAGATCGTATTCCGCCTCTGGAAACACAGGACAGACCTGCATTCGAAGACAAGACATCAAGTACTTTGCACCAGCAACAAAAGCTTGATTGTCACTATGAATACGACACTGCGAAGTGAAAAACCAACCCAAACTCTCTGCCTTCACATCCGTGGAGTCTTGCTGCACTGCGCCCGTGAACTCATGCCCTGCCACGGCCACGCTGTCCGTCAGTGTGTCCAGCACCTCTCGGTTCGTGCCCGTCCCATCGGCAGCATCAAGCTGCGCAGCATCCTCCGCAGCACCAGGGAGCTCAGCAGCACCGAGCGGCGTTGCGTGTGGCACAATGCCAAGGGCATGTTCTACCTAACACGGGATCTCGGAAGCCGCTCGGAGACGTTCTGATCTCGAAGCTTACGGTAGCGGTAGCTGCCTTTTTGCCGCCAGAACAACATGTCAGCATGCCAGCCAGCGAGGCAACAAAAAGTACAAAACAAACAACCTAATGTATAGATTTTCATAACCCCCCATTTGGATGCGCGAACTTGCGAGTCTGATGCGCTTCTACATTACCCCTTGCTGCGGTTTAACCCCCCATTTGGATTGAAAAACGTCCTCATATGGAGAGTTTATGAATCAAGAGTCTACATGATCGAAGGAAATCGCTGCTGAGAGTCATTGACCTTTTCTGCGATCGGTCCCTCTGAAGTCGCCGGTCGAGTCGTGTGATGGGTCTCAAGTCTTCCACGCAAGGACATCGAAGACTTCAAGCTGCGAGATGACACGGGCGCACCCGAGTGCGAGATGTCCATCCTCAGCTCGTGTGAAAAGCCTGTTCCAAATACACCAAGTTGGTGGACACCATTGGTTGGTTTAAAATCCTAAGAATAATTACGTTGTTCCGCAAACCATTGGCAATCTCCTCTTTACCCCGTGGATCAAATGTGCAAAAACCCTTGGACCAGCAAAACCCCGCAGTTTCGGGCTCCAGCTCGCTCATCCCCCATGCGCCATCCGTGGCCGTCCGCAGCCGTCCGTGGCCTTGCGGTGATTTGCATCGAATAGACTGAAGAAACGGTTTTGTTCCCCTGCCCTTATGGACCTCAATACCCCTTCCAAAACAACGGACCTCCATACCCAAAACATCGCATCGCTACCCAGCGTCTGCAACACTTGCATCGCCAAGCCATCCTTTCCTCTCGCAGCCTGCGCCTGCAGAAGGTGTGGCTGACTGCAACATAACCAACAGATCATGCATGCTAGTGATTAGAGGCTCAGGATTTCTCTCCAGCCAGCTTTATATATATATATATATTAATCATTGCAGGCCCATAAATGCTCCTTGAGGCAAAATGATCAGAGCCTCTGCCACGCAATAAATTGTCCAACCCTTCGTTCAAAATCGTAGGCGCCTGCGATTTCGACTTCAGTAGAGCTGGAGTGGAAGATCGTCGCCGAAGAAAATGCGCGGGTCGCTCGTCGGCCAAACGCTGCACTTTCGCATCCAACTGGTCGAGTTGGGCGGTGAGGGAATCATGGAGTCCCTTGATGGCCTGGAGGAAACGTGTTCGAGCACAGGCGGCACGGACCTCCAAAAAACCATGGTGGATGTGAATCAAAACCTGAAAAGGCCTGCATAGCTGGGATAAGCCACAAAAGCGCTTTGTTCCTCGTGACTCGTGACCTACCTGATTTGGCCCATTCATTCATATTTAAATGAATGCACTAATAACGCAGTTGTGTTTGCTTGTGTGTGTGTGCTTCAACGATCTATCAATAAAAAAGTAACACACATTGAACGAAAATGGCCAAATTTGACTGTGGAAACTTAGTTGCCCATTCCGGCCAAGATGGCAGGATTTGGTCAAACCTCCAACTCAGAACGGCTCCGTTCGGCAACCCATAGCGGCTCCATGCGCCGATTCACGGCTCGCGTGCCTGCAAGACGATGCTGGAATCCTCCACCTCGCTGACCTCCAAGCTAGGCACCGTTTCCAAAGGGTAGGGTATTGCCATAGCTGTCGGTGGCGCCGCCATGGGGCAGCCGCTGAACGCCGCAGCGGCTCGCCGCGTGAGGGCGTGAAACTGCAAGCCAGGCACCTTTCTCGAAAAGTAGTCGGCTGCAGAGAGAAAACTTAAGGAGAAAATGATGCACAAGGTCGCCTCAGCCATGAATAGTGTCATTCCAAGGTTGAAGGCACAAGGTTGATGCATTGAAACAAATCACAGGAATGGTCTAGAATCACAAAGAGATGCATGCAAAGGAACCGTGTAGTCAGTATTCCAACGTGGTTGACTGCGTTGTCCATTCTCACCAATGTGTGTTTGCCAAGCACGAGAATAACATATCCCTAGTATTGTTGATGGAAGAAAACCTGAACTACCAGGAACCACCAAAGCAATTCGAATAAAAAACTGCTCTTCATTTCATGTGTTGCAGGAAGAAATCTTCAACTCCAGGAGGGTATCATGCCTTGTCATGATCAGAAGAATATCGTGCTTTCATCTTCGGGGGTAACGGCGAATGCAGACCATGGCAGAAGCAAATGAGGCACACTCGACTCGTCGACCTGTCGTCACTCTCGACCACCAAACTTGCAGCATGACTGGTCAGACTTGGTTATCGTTGGCATGACTAGACCTGGTTTGGTATCAACAAAGTCTCGGGCACGCGGTCTTGGTCAGAGGAGCACATTTGTCTCACTGCACGGTGCAGATATAATCACAATCACTATATTTACTTGGCGGCTCGCAAGCTGGTGAAAGAGCAGATGATAAGCCTCGTTGTTTTCACCGTTGTTCACCAAATCCTCAGACTTGCGAGTCACCAAAAAGTTCTCGTTTCCTGCATCTTTCCGTCCGAGGAGGTCGGGCTCAGCCTCATAATTAACATCCTGATAATGTCCTGACCCAAGCATAGCGGGGCATTACAGGCGATCTGTCGGTTTGCAAACTGTCTCGAACATCTTGGGCTCAGGTCGACGGATTTCCGTAGCTTCTGGGCCGTCTTAGAATGGCAAAGCCCTAGAATGGCGGTCTGGTCGCTCCGGGGTTGATCTAGATACCACAAACATCGGGGAAAACAGACACAAAGAGCGGTTCAAACAGCTGTGTCAAAAGTTCTGATGGAAGATCCGCCAGGCGAAGGTTCAAACAAACTCCCTGTCTGGAGTGGCTCCATGCGGCGAATAGGCGATGCTGGGCTGGAGCACATCTGAACTCGCCTTTGAACGTGCGCATTTGTGTTTTAAAAGGTGTGCGTGGAGTGAATCTAGCATGCAGTTCAGCTCGTTGTTCTAGCGGTCCTAACTCACTTTCATTGGAAGAAACCTTGACCTGGACTTTCACGATGCTAAGATAGTTGGAGTACATCTACCCTGATGATGAACCACAGCAGTTGCTAGATCTGAAGTCCAATCTCTCTTGGCCATTGGTCCAAAAGCCCTTTTCATGGGGAGCATCGGGCTGCCTGCGTACCGCAAAATGGCAGAGTGCAGGTCTATTCAATTTCTGTCTTCTGGACACAAGTTGTGGCAGGAGCTGATTCAACTATATTCAACTTGCCATACAATTCTACCTTTCCCAGCAAAATCACATCCTTGCTCCCCTTCGCTTTCAAGCCTAGCACAGCTGTGGGTTTGTTCCAAGCTGATGTTCGGCCACAGGACTTCAAGGAAGCGGCCACTGCTTCAAATGAAAACGCCTGGCCCTGGAGCTCCGGCGGCGGAGCTAACCCCGCCTGCGTTGGCCCGCTCAAAACTGCACGAAAGTCATGGTATGCCCAAGAACGGAAGGTCTAAAGAGTCTAAAGTTTTCCAAGTATTGTGCCCTGAGCCACTGCCCAGCTCGAAAGTTCATAAAGTATTGTGAAGAGAATGAGGAATAAAACAGATCTGAGTGGCATGTGTGAGATGAAATAATGTGAAAACATATCAACATGTCATCGGAAAACATGCCGCTCGCTTCTGTTCTGATCATCGTCTTGCACTGTGTCTCTGTTGTGGCGGTATGTTCATTGGATCCATCTGGATGTCACATACTTGCAATGTGGTTTGTCCTCTACTTTATCGGTTCATTCTTGATCATGTATGTGCATGTCCAGATCTGTTGTGTTCCTAGACTGTTTCTCGATATCTATGTATACAGTATATATATATATATTGCTTGAATCTCCCTCCCAAAGGGTCGCAGCTAATCGTTCTAGATCCGTCCGAACGCCGTCCTGTACTTTTTTTGCGCCCAAGACGGCAACAGGATGCAACAGGAACGGAGCGGCACATCCGGGTCTCCAACCCGAAGCGGGCCAACACTCACCGCAGCACGGTCGGCGACGGTGGGTGACGGTCAAGTGACGAGGTGACCCACATCGGTCGACCCGTGTGACGAGGCCCGGCATTTTGACCCACATCCGTCATCCGTCCACTTCTCCAACGGCTCTTGCCGAAAGCAAGCTCCAGTTGGACTCTGCATTTCAGGGCAGATTCCAAACCCGGAAAGAAACTCGGTGAAACCGATAGCTCCGGAAACGCCAGCGCAAAACTGAAAAATTGAGAACATGCAAGTCAGAAAGTCCTCCAGGCTTTTGAAACCTCCAATTCCGGTTCCAAACCGGCCGGACTATAGAAAAAAGAGGGTCCCTCGCTCGAACGAGTCGAGGGGGGAAGGCTCGGGCTCGAAGGCCGAGGCCAAAAATCACAGCCCTGAGGAAGAAAAGAACAAGAAAACAAGTTGAGTTCTAAAAAGAATTGTTATAAAACGCCGAAAGTCCTGAGGCAAAGAATAGCCTGAAAGCCCTGTTGATACACCGAAGAAAAAGAATAGCGATCCAAACATGCGACTCATGCTTCATGCAAATGGTCACACCGTGAGACCTCATCCTCCACTGTTTTCCCAACCCAGTCCTTTGGAACGGAACGGTCCTTGCCGGCCTTTCGATCCCTCACCGAGCAGAGCGCAGCACAGCGCTCTGCTAGGCCCAGGTGCCGGAGAAGGCACCGAGCTGAAATCCGATGCTGCCGGCCACTGCCGTGGTGAAGTAGAGAAACCTCAGCTGGGCTCGCTTGGCCGATCGACTCGATCGTGTGCGGTGCGCCGGTGGCCGATCGAGGGCAAGGGCCGGGGACGAGGTCGGAGGTTGATCGTTCAACGGTTGCAACATCTTGCAACATGGGGACGTTTCACTTAGGTGACATACCCGATTGTGGGTGCGGTTTGAAGGGTTGAACCATTTGTGTTTGGGGCAGATCTGCTCGTGGAGAGAGATGCTTTGAACCAGCTCTCACCAAAAAATGGCCTGTCGTGAAAACCGGAAACAAACAAATGCGCAGATCAAATCACCAGATACCAAGTGGTTCGGGCTGGAGAAACCTGTGTCTGGTTGGGCGTGGAAGCCGCTTGTGGCAAATTAGCATTGTGGAGTTCAACCATCTCTGACGCCGCAACCCTATCAACCCTAATCCACCAGTCCCCGAACTCTTGTGGATGACAACGAAAAACCGGAAGGCGATTCCGTCCTGAACCCATTCGAGTCCGTGGTGTTTTGTGGTACCGTCCTCTCTCCGCCCCCTGTGGCGCACCCCGCGGGCGGCACCGAGAAAAACGCGGCTTCTTGCGCCCAAACCCCGTTCGGAAGGGTTCGGAAGACTCCAAAACCTTCCAAAAGCACCCGAGTGATGGAACACCAAAACTTGGCTTCACAGCGGTCCAGCTGGAAAAGCATGGAGAAGCCTTGATAAGCCTTGGGGTATCTGCCTCTGGCGGTGGATTCTGGATCCATTCAGCCAGGCTCAGGGTCGGTCGGAGAGAGATGCTGAAGCACGGGACTCGAGACCAAAGCAGGATCGAAAGTTGGTTGGAACTTTCTTGAACTCAAACTCTATTGATGGGTTGGTTGGTTGGTTGGTTGGTTGGTTGGTTGGTTGGTTGGTTGGAACTTTGGTCGAGACCAAAGTTGGTTGGTTGGTTGGCTTGAACCCAAACTCTATTTAAAAACACTTTGGAGGCCGGGAAGCCCGGAAAGAAACAGACACCTGAAAGCCCTGCAACTTTTGCACCAAGACCAGTGTAACGCAGGTGTTCCACATGAAGAACCCGCATTCACCTCAGTCGAAAACGGCCCCCGCTGCCCTGGAAGGAAGGACATCGCCCTGATGGGAGAAGACTCTCGCAAAAAGACTGCCTGAGCTGCCCCGGCTGAAGGGAGTTCACGCCCTGCTCGGCTTTCGGAAGAGGATCTTCCTTTTGGAACAAACCCATGCTATCCCACGTCACCGAGTTAGTTTCGTGTACTGTCATGATCTCCATCCCTTTTCGTCACCAGTGTGACGAACAGGCGACCAGCCCGCCGAAGGAACAGAAGGGACTTCCCGCCGGAGCCATGACGGGCTGCACCCTGCTGACCACTTCAAGTCTAATCTGGCTCCCATTCATCTGTCCCGAGGGAGGCGGAGACTCCGAAGGGGAGATATATATACTATTATATACTGGTACTGGTATATATGAATTTGTGTATAAGAGTCAGCTGGTATATCTGGAGCACTTGTAATACACAACCCTGCGAATTGCATCTTCCCAATCTCAGCTATGCATGGCTTCCTGTTGGTTCAGACGAGCACATGGACCTCGTCCAGATGACTCTGGTGACACTTTTTCCAGGTTGCGCATGATATTTGGGAAAAACCGTCCACCGCTGGATCGTCTTTCCTCGACAAGATTTACTCTCCCCGAATCAAACGTATCCCCCTAAAGTGGATTGTTTACTTTTTTGACAACGTTCGTCACCGTTAGTCGACAGATGCTGAAAGGGCACAAGTGGTGTCTGTGAGGAGGATATGTTAGCAACAGTCCGCAGGGGAAGACGTGTTGCAAATCCTCCAACATGGAAAGCGGCCATGTCAAGTTGATGCCGGGGAACCTTGACGAGCTTCATGACTCTGAAATGGTACAAGTGGTGGGACCGGGACGAGGATATGTTAGCAACTAGGAGAAGCATGGAGAAAAGTTCCATGGCCCATGCCCTGTGACACGGCCATGTTACTCTGTTTTTGGCACGTGCAAAAACTAACATAGCCTTCCAAAATGGGCATTGAGTCTTCCAGAATGGTAAAGTCTTAGTCGCAATGACTAATATAGCCCTCTAACTCTAACATGGTCATGTGGTTGACCAAAATTGCAAAATTGATGGTTGCCCCAGGCCAGTGTTTTTGGACCTTCTCTTGAAGCTACCGCAAAGCAGAGGTTACATGCAATTCCCCAGGAAACACCGGAGAGGTTTTGGATATGTTAGTTGGGGTCTTCAGTGCTGCCAGGGGTACCTTTGATTTGGGGAGTGTATTTCAAGGTCTCTGGCTCTCCCAAAGGTGTTTCGATTCTCATGTGAGCCCGGCCAATGGGCTCATATGCAAAAACATCGCCAAGTCCATGTACTCCGCATCCTCCTCTTCCGCTTCCAACAACATCACCAGAGATGGAAGTCGGTTGCCTCGGCGCACCACATACACTTTTTACTTTTTTGCTGCCAAAGACCATAACCACTCAGAACCTGTAGTTGATGTCTTTTTGATAGGGAAGAACCGTGCTTTAGGTGGCCTCTACTCCACAGCTTCCAGATTCCAGGTACGAATTAGTGGGAGATTGAACTCTGCCACGCCGCAAGCGGTCGTCGCGGATGCATTGGTCCACAAGACCCCCGGCAAGAAGAGGGCCACGGCCAGCGAGGCGAAGATCTCGAACGTCCCACCTGCGCGCCGGGTCCGGCGGAGGTCAGTCGAACCTCTCCCGGTCGTCTTCTTAGGCCCCAGAAGATCTTCTTAGATGGGCGTGTCCGGCTAATTCGCTGCTACTTACAGTACATTCATGCCTCTCGACATCGTCAATGTGCATTTCGACTGCGCAGGCTCACGTGCGCTCTCGTTGTGGTGCCGCGCGCATTCGCACATGGTGGTCACTTTTCGTGGCAGGCGCAAGGGAAAGCGCGTGCTTTGGCGCTTCAAAGTCGACTTTTCGTGACAGGCGCAAGGGATCGGAGCCGTTTTGCCTCGAAGTGCAGTTTTCGTCACACGTGCAGCACTTAGGAGCTCAGATTTCGTGACAGGCGCAGTGAATCGTGACTTTTGGACATGTGGCTCGTTTGCAGATTTCGTGGCAAGCACAGCGCTCTGTGACCCTCGATGTGCAGATTTCGTGGCAGGTGCAGCTCTTTGTGACGAGAAGTTTCCTGACAGGCACAGCACTTTGTGAACCTCGAGGTGCAGATTTCGTGGCAGACGCAGCACTTGGTGAACCTCAAAGTGCAAATTTCTTGGCAGGCACAGCACTTGGTGAACCTCGAAGTGCAGATTTCGTGGCAGGTACAGCACTTGGTGAACCTCGAAGTGCAGATTTCGTGGCAGGCACTGCACTTGGTGAACCTCGAAGTGCAGATTTCGCACAGCGCTTTGTGAACCTCGAAGTGCCTCGAAGTGCAGATTTCGTTGCAGACACAGCACTTGGTGAACCTCGAAGTGCAGATTTCGTGGCAGGCACAGCACTTGGTGAACCTCGAAGTGCAGATTTCGCGGCAGGCGCAGTACTTTGTGAACCTCGAAGTGCAGATTTCGGCGCAGGCGCAGGACCTCAATGGTTCTTAGTTTGAGGATGTCAGGCTGCCAACCCAGGGATTTTGAAGGGTGGAGTCCAAACTGCAATTTTTTAGCCCGAAAAGGCGGCAGGTTGGGGCGCCAGGGGGTCCCTTCCCATCCGGTAGGCTTCATGAAGCAAGGGCACCGCAATTGCAAGAAAGTCAAAAGGAACACACCGAAAAGGAGTCACCCTGAAAGAAATGTACGAAAATGACTGTAATTTGGTCGAGGTTGAGGTTCTGGTGTCAGCATGACAATATCATTAATTATATATATATATATCGTGTGAATCGTGAGTATGGGGATTGCATAATCTAATCTCAAATCAGTTGGCGAAAAGTAACACCGTTCTGTTATAAATGTAATGCTCAAATCTAGTTGGGGCATGAACAAGTGGTTCTAGATTCTAGATGACAAGGCGGCATCCCTTTTGGGGAAGGCACGATTTCAAAAAAGATTATATACATATATATATATATATATTGATTCTTCCACAACTCGATTCACTATTGAACGTGTACCTTACATTACAGTAATGAAGACACTACCACCCATGGTTTTGATTTTTTCAGGGAACTGGTTTTACGCAGGAGCACTCTCGAACTCCAGACACACCTCTGCCCATGCAGGTATCGTACAGGTTACACGTACCACACCGTGCCGTGCACCTATATACCCCAAAAAACAACGACATGCATGTGGGGGCCCTGATTTCACCCAACATGATCTCTGGGTGATGGTGCGTTCCACAAGTCACCGACCGTCTATCTATCTCCCCTCCTTCTGGATCTAGTCTCATCAGCGCGTCCTTCAAGGTCTGACGGTCGTTCGTGAAGGATGCGGCCGTTCGACCAAAAACCCTGGAAGGTAGGACTGCAAGGTCCAAGTGGTGCGAAGCTATGCAGGAACACTTCAGTTGGTCAAATCGACTTCCAACCTCACTTTGTTTGCCACATCGCTGTGGAAGGCATGGCAAACCCACCTCATGTCAGCCTGGCTTGAAACCCCGATTCCGCTCAACCCACCCCAATGGGAGCCCCGCCCACGTCCAGCGGAAGACCTTCCGAGGTGAAGCCTCGACCCGGTGCCCCGTCGCGCGGGTTCTTCCGTCGCGCCTGTAAGACGAGGCTGTGGTCCTCCTGCTCACTGACCTCCAAACTGGACACCGTCTCCAAAGGATAGGGTATCGACATAGCTGCCGGTGGCGTCGCCATGCGCAGCACCAGCTGCACACGCTGCGGCTTAGCGCAGCAGACACGTTGAGCCGGCAGCAATGCTCTTGAGAGATGGGCGGCTGCAGAGGAAAAAAAGGACGAGACATCAACCCCATGACATACCCAAAGGACAGCAGGCGTTTTCACCCATTAGTGATGAGGTCCCTTCCAAATGCCGCAGAACGTGTCCAAATGTTCCAGAAGTTGGTTGAAAGCGCAAGCTGTGCGCAGATTACGGCACCACGTGCAATGCTTTGAAGCAGGAAGCAAATGCAAGGATGCCCACACAAGGACCGAGTACGGCAAGTACTGTTTAATCCGGATTTTCACCAGAGAATTTTCAGAGAACAAAGAACATGAAAGTATATCCTCTGACGAGCTCATGGGGCCCGGGAAGCCACCGAGCGCGAACAGCTGGGAGGTTGCAGGGATGGAACACTGCCCATGCCGACACGGCCCCAATGGATGGCATGGTCACGATGTTCGGATTCTTATCCTCTATCAACAGGTGGTGCCATCCACTAATGATTCTTTCAAGGAGTCTATGGTCTTCACCCTTCTTAGTTCTCAGGCCACAGTGGATGAAGGGATTCGTTCCGGTCCTGATTTGCAGGACATCATGAAACCCTGCCATGAAACCCGGAATTTGGTATACCAACACCATTGAGTCAAAAAAAGAAGGTTCCCCAAGTTCCCCTCGGATTTGCCTTTGCAAATGATCAAATATCATGACCCATTCTAGTCCCCTCCTAGTGCACGGACTGTTCATCTGTTCAGGCCCCGTCTCGGTCCCCCGGGCGAAGCGGGCAGCTGCGCGCGGGCAGCACGGTCGCCCCACTTGAGCCAAGGCACGGGTTTTGGTCCTGTGAGTGGTTTGATTTCGATCAAGTCACAACGGAAGAAGAGTCACTGCTGGTGAACCTTCCTGTGTGCTATCGCGGTATAAAAGGCAGCATTTTCTGTGAAACAGAAGCACCACACCCAGCCCTACGCTCCGGTGCTTCGTAAGCACCACTGCAACGCTCCGCACCACCTTTTCGTCACTTCTGCTGGTCCTCTTTGGCGCGCGCCACGCGCACGCGTCCCCGCACGGCGGCGAGGCCGCCCTTGGTGGACAGGCCACGCCTCGGTGGGTCCGGTACCGTAGTACCGTGCTTCGTACGTCCATTGAGCACACCGAAACACGGACTTTTCGGCTCTCATGAATCAAGTACAGTACCCCTTCTGTCAGAAGGGAAGTCTTGGTTCAACTGATGAAAAATGAAAACATTTATTCTTATATACACCAGGATGTTCAAGGGACATGAAAGTTATCGTGAGGTTCCAAAGATTATGCAAGTTGTGGAAGATGAGTTCTTCTGCCAGCAGTGTTTTCGTGACTAGTGGGCCATAACCAAACATGGGTGTAACGAATGAACTCATCTAGAATCTAGAAGGGTGTGGTTTCTATGTCTATCGGGCTTGCAAACATGGTTGATTCATGCCTGTCATCTTCCGTGGAACTCAGGAGCGTAAAAAGAAGGACCCGTTTCTGCTCAGGTGCACCCCGAGAGATGCAAGCTCCCACACTGAAATCGTCAGTTCCAAGAGTTGATTTGCTGCGCTTCAGGGATTCCTCCACACATCGGCGCTGTCAACTCGTCCAGCTTGGTCCAAGTAGACACCTCTTCCGTTGTTTCCCAACATCCGCTGGCGCCCATCGGCGCAGCTTCCAAGAACTCCAGGCATCCGGGCACCACGCATTCTTCCTGCAACTCCTTCGGCGAAACGAGCCGAGCTTCAGCTTCAGGTGAAACGAGTGCAACGACCCGCGGCGGCACGTCTCGGGGGGACGTCCCCGAAACCGAGGAACCGAGGCGCGTAGCGCCGGAGCAGGCCGGTGGACCGGACCGCCGTACTTTCCGTCCGAGGGAGAAAAGAAACGGCGAGCGCTTCATGAACACAAAACCAGTGAACCACGGTCTCGGGTGATTAAACTGATAACAAGGTTCGTCGATTCGTCTGCCAAATGCTCTTTGCTTTAAATCAGAGTCAGCTACGAGCTGGCAAAAACAAAAGCTGGTTTCACAAAATCTTATTCTATTGAAGTATGACCAACCTTCCGGTCGCCTTCCTATAAGGAATTCCAATACCTCTCATAGCTGCTGAGCTCACCTGCCCCCTCCAATTCATCCGTGCAAATCTGCGTTCAACGCATCAGCTTCGGATACCAGGCTCCCGTTGGTCCCGTGGGTCCCGTTCTCGCTGGTCTCCGCTTGCCACCGCTCCTCCAAGGTCATGCTGCTGACCGGAATGAGCCCCGACTCCAAGACCTGCCGTCGCCGGAACTCGGTCGCCGCACGTCGGTCACCGCACGTCGGTCACCGCAGCTACGCAACCCCGGAAAACACGTCGGGTGACGCTGGGGGCATAGCGAGACGCACACCGGACAGCGCGGAGAGGAAAGATGCTGGAAAAGGCGGGTGGGATCAAAGATGGCGTTTTGGGGCTCGAGTCGAAGTGAAAGGTAAATGTTTCGCGCGGATCGAATAGTCATTGTGGCAGAAAGCGCTAAGTCTACAAACCTTCCAGTTTGTTTCTTTCAGCAGAGGGTCGTGTTTTTCCACCATTTCTCCACTCCGTCCCTCAACAAGTGACGACGACTCTGTCCGTGGCGAAGCGGTGCACTCCGGTGACGACCGGTGGCCTGCGCATCCATAAACGTTTCGAAGACCGTCGGAGCCTGAGGAGCCTGCGAAAACGCGACACCAGAGGTGGCGACCGGGATGAGGAAAAAAGGGAGGAAGAAAAGGGTGACAGCATCTCAGAGTCAGACTTTCGGAGTGATTATCAATGTTAGTTTTTATATAATGAAGAGAAAAATAGAGAAAGTGCTGTACTACCACAAATAGAACAACTCTATGACATGATATATGTACCCCTGTAGGGTCCCATGTTCGCTCTCTTGATCTATAGGTGTTCAGGGGTGCCCAGGTGCATGCCGCGCATGCGCTGCTTCCGTCCAAACTTGGTGGATCTTCGACGACGCAAAGAACACCACGCTGGTAGGGTTTAGGGTTTCTATCTCAAACAGTCCTACAGTCCTACTACTACACAAGTGCAACAAACGGATTTCTACTCGCTAGTCCTGGTAACGAGTCTGGTCTGGTACTCGCTTCGCTTCCAGGAATGGTGTTTGGTCATCGCGTTCGCCTCCGGTCGCTGCGTCGTTGTCCAAACGACGTCCGACGACCGTCCGCAGTCAGACATACTCACGAACCACGAAGAACTACCGTGTCTTCGTGGTTCGTTCGTATTTCTTTGTGGACAGTCTGGACACGGTCTTCAGACCATGTTGTTCACTGGACGAAGGTTTACTCGTGGATGACACCCGAGAGCCATTCTTCGCGCGTCAAGCTTCAAGTGAAGCGGCATCTCTAGCATTGCAGGGCAGCTCTAGCAAAGGCAGCCAAACTCCAATAGTGCCTTCGACAGTGAAACATGCTCATAAGAAGCACATTGCAGCGAGGGCTGATGAAAACGATAGCTTCGAGCAGGTGCTTTCGCTATTTCCACCATCATCCCTCTCAAAAAAGATCCGGCTGCGCCATTCCACGGGTCACCCACCTGGCAGGTGTCGGACCTTTCCGGCCTCTCTTTGAAAAAACGCCGGACATCCCATTCATCCGGACTAGCCGTACGGATGCAGTGGACCTTCACGGATGCAGTGGACCCATCTTCGAAAAGGTCGGGTGATTGCAGTCGAAGCCCAAGACATGTCCCCTGGAAGAGGGAATCAACCACTCGAATGCAACCATGGTACAGGCAGGTGTAAGTGTACAGATTGAATGGTTTGCTCAAGTGCTCCTTGATTCAGGCTCGATGTTTTCAGCGAGTTTTGATGTTATCGAAACCGGCTGCTAACATCACCAAGCGTCGGCCCTCAAGCATCTGCGAGCATCCAAATGCTCTTCGCCAGCATTATCGATCAGCCCTTGACTATTGACAAACAGCTGTCGTCCTTAACCTGCTAAAATCACCAAGCATTTGGCCATTTGGCCCTCCATCTGCCAGCATCCAGATTTGCTTCGCCATTGGAAAAATAGGAATCAGCACCTGGCTGTTTACCAGGTGTTTTCGCCGGCCTTGGGCCTTGGGCCTTGCTTTGCGTCGATTCGTCACCGGTGTCAACCGGAAAAAGCGACGTGTTCACTCATGGTGCCGGGTACGACACCGAGCCAAAAGCCTGGCCCAAAATCATGTGTTTGGGTGCAGGCCTTTGGCTTTTTGAATCATTGCAACTATTTCCACAGACTTGGGAGAACCACCCAGCGAATATTTGGGCCTCAGCTTCGATGCTCCCACTCGGTGGGAGAGAGCGGTTGACCGTGTCCCACTTGCATGAGGAAGGAGCGGTCAACCGCGGCGAAACCGAAGAACCGAACGCACCTCCTCCTCTGTGGCAGCTTCCCCAGCGACCTCTTGCATTCGGAGTAGAAGATCATTCAGCTCCTGCATCGCCACGCTGAGAGCATGGCTCAATGTTGGGTGTGAAAACTCTGAACGTCAACTTCTGGGAGCTACAAAACCTGATGTCAACTCTCTTAGAGACATCAGTCCAAAGACAACGAATGGTCCCATCTACTATCTACCCAAAAAAATGGTTCTGGGTCAAAAAAGTCAGCGCCGTCAACCCTGGCAGGTTGACCGACTAGTCAGCTTGTTCTTCTTCCGTTCGGTGTCTCTGGTCAACCAGGGTTGGCGCATGTCATGACCCAATGACATGCGCCATGACCAGCGCCTCACTGCGCCATGACCGTTCACTCTGGGAGGCCGTGACGGAGACACAGATGATCTCGCCACCTCACCACACTCCTTCGTTCGAGCACGCCATTCCTTTTGCTCGGCCTGGCCCGTTTTCTGCGCAAAAGCGTCGGAGCAGGAAGGTGGATGGTTTGGCAAGACGGTGGAGGGACAAAAGCGGCACTGCACCAAGTATGAAGTGTCCGCATTTGGGGGTATCCACCAGAGGGTCTCTTCCATCAACGGTAGAGTAATAGGAAAATGTACTACAGTATAAGACTTTTGGCAACAAGCTGACGATCCAACCTGCTTTCCAAGCAGGGACGAAGGTACGAAAAGAGAAAGTCGGTCTCGGTCCGACGACAGGGCCATGAACAAATGGTTTGTCAAAACGCCCCGAACAAGACTAGCGCGAGTTGTGTCTCTGAGTCCGGTAGTGGCACCATATGGCACCATCTTAGCTGGTGCTGTCACTAGACCGTCTAGCCCCCGCAAAAAAGATGAAACCTCGCGGATCTGAGAATCTTATCTTCTCTCTTTTTTGAGCCACCCTTCACCTCGCCTTCAGCTTCTTCTCGGACGCATGTGACGCATCCACCTCCTCCTGCAAAACCCCATCCGAAAAAAAAAAAAAAGAAACGGTTTGGGAAGGCTTTGGCTTGTCCGGTGTGACGGAGAAAGGTCTTCCTGAAGTGGCCATCTTCCGTCTCTTCGACCGTTGGTGTTCGTTCCTGGGCCGGTCCTCCAAATCCTCGCAGTAACGGGTCATCAACTTCAACTGCTGACCTGGGCCAGGACTGACCCGTTGGTTTGGGACCTGTGTGAAGCGGACGAAGCTGGGAATGACCTGAGGAACTTGGAAGGTACCGAGTTAGATTCTTCACACAAGCTCCCACCCCATAATCCCCATACTGAGAAATATGGTTTATGGTCACAGATCACAAGTCACCCCACACAGCCTACTTGGAAGGGAATCCTGTCTTCCTCTTGGTCACTGATAGTCAGACTCGAAACACCCTCGACACCAAGCCGGTGGGACGAAAAACGAGACACACCTGGAAAAGAGTCTGATAGCTGAGCTTGATCTGCGTTGACGCCACGCACATCTACCCCCCCAGCCAAACAGGATGGATGCCCTCATGTGAGGCTGATTCATCATCCATCTCTATGACCAGAAGAATCCTTCACCAACTCAACCAGCACCGGCCCAAAAAATGGATCCAGGTGCTCCAACGAGCTTTCTGCAGTTGCTTTTGGAGAAGCTTTTTCTCCTGGCCGCTTTCGCAACAAAAAGACCACACGTCGGATCCGTCCGATCTCGGAAATCAAACGCTTCCAGGGAGTGGAAAACAGGCGGAGAAAAAAAAAGGGGGGGTAAACCGGTGAAACCACGCGGTTTGGAGTTCGTGCTTAGCTGCGTTTCCATCGCATTGGGGTGACAAAAACACATGTCACACGAGTCATGTTAATATGACTAATGCTTTGAGCTATATTCTCGTCACCTGAGAAATTGACCTGTCATGGATATCCCTCTAAAAAAACCGACTCCCCCACGAACCGTCGCTTGGGCCGGCCAATCCTGGTCTCTTTGGCCGGTCCTTCTAGCCACACGACGTCCGGCTCCGAACCACCCGTCCGAGCAGGTCGGGCGAACCCTCTCTTTGGAGAGCGTCAGAGCAGGTCGCGGTCCGATTCTCTGGACCGGAAAAAGCGCGAGCGATGCAGGATGGCGGCGAGGGTTCTCCGCTCAGTGCGGACGTCAGGCGGTTCCATTCTTCACGGAAGTTAAGAACTTGAGGACGCCATCGAAGAAGCGCTGGCAGACATTGTATTGTGCCTGCAGAAAGAAGGCAGCAAAGACTGGATCGAATTCCGAACCCAAAAGGAACAAAAGCACCCATGTCAAGAGTTCAAAAACGGAGAGTTCAAAAACTAGTGCCTTTTTTTTGCACGGGTGGAGACGCCATGTGTGCAGAGGTTGCACAGGTCATCTGGAGAGTTCAAAAACTAGTGCCTCTCAACGAAACATCCTGGCCGATCTATCCACAGGTGACCCTAAATCCACCAAGGAGATCCTGTCTGAGTGCCACGGCCCGATGGGTCGCTGGCAGATCACCGGGATGGTGGGGCTGGGACCCATCCTTCACGTTTTTGTTGTTGTGTCGTGGTTGTGGTCGTGGTTGTGGTTGTGTTGAAAGTTCTAGAAAGAGATGAAGGACCATCACTGGCAACTCCAGGCCTTTTCATGACACCTGTGGCTTTGAATCACCATTTTCACCTGAACTGCTTGCGCCCCCTGCGCCCATCAGAGAGGCAGGCGGGGAGCGCCAGGTCTGTCATGGATATGATCCAGGAACTTCGTCAGACGAAGAAACTGCCGTTTGATTTAGACGTATATATGGTGGATGATCAAGAACATATCGTGAAATGTTGCCCAGTATCTTACCTCTCCGAGAGTCCAAAACCGGCACGTTGAAAAATCTACAACTTTGGTGATGCCTTGCAACTCTTTTGACTAGAAACTTCAAGACAAGGTTTTGCGGAACCTGGCTTTACCTTGGAACAACAACCCCATTTGTTGGTCATTTCACTCACCAAACTCACCACACTGCAGTGAGTCATGTTGTAAAAGGTTGACCGACCGCGCGCTCACCAGGTTGGGTACCCCACTATTTTCTTCGGTTCTGTACATTTTCAGATTGGGGAACCCCATTTGATCTGCCACACCCAAAAGTAAACAACATGCTCACATTCCCAGCCAAGAATCCACCCCCCTTGCCCTTCACACCCGTCCATCTCCATCAATTTCACTTGGCTCAGCCCTCTTTGTTCCTAGTAGTTTCTTGTTACTAGTAGTAAGGCCAGGAGCCACAATATATAGCTGTTTCTTGCTCCTAGTAGCGATGCTCTTTGTTCCTAGTAGCTTCTTGAAGCACCAAATACCCACCTGTGTGATGACCTTCGAAGCCACTCTCCGGCGCGTCTCGTCGGCAAACGTGAGCACCAGCTCCACCGGCCCCTCCTCGCGCGGAGCCACGCGCGGAGCCGCGCGGTCCGAGGTCAGCCGAAGACGGACCGCTCGACGTGTCGCGACACCGCCGTCCTTGCGCACGGACGGGCCGTGCCGCACAGCCTCAAAGTCCTGGCCTGAGAAAGTCCTCGCCGCAGCAGGAAGCAAATGGCCCAGAGGCAGAGAATCCCCTTCGCAACATGATGAAATCACTTTGGGTCAAGCATTCCAATCACTCTTGCCGCCCAAGTTGGGTCGAGAAGCCCCTCGTCAATCACTCCAGGCACATGTTCAGCCCCTATTCTCTTGAGGCCAAGCCTGCTGGGCTAGTTCTGCAAAGACGCCACTGTGCTTCAGAAACTTGGGCGCAACTAAATTGATCTCTGATCGTTCCAACTGGAAACGGTAAATAGTATGGTTCATCAAAAGTCCTAAGCAGAAACGGTGAATCCATTGGACTGAGAGGGAATCCATGCGTTGTCATGTTGTTTTCAACCACCTCGTGTGTCTCCCTTCGTGACTCTGTCTTTCTATCAAACAAACTCGTCGTCGTCGTCGTCGTCGTCGTCGTCGTCATGATCGTCGTCCTCATCATCGTCGTCCTCATCATCATCATCATCATCATCATCATCATCATCATCATCATTGTCGTCTTCCTCCTCCTCCTCCTCCTCCTCCTCCTCCTCATCCTCCTCCTCAGCAGCAGCAGCAGCAGCAGCCTGATCATCAAATCAAGACAACCACTATACCAATATTATCTAAATATGTTCCCACGTTTGGCATGATGTTGCCCCTTCCCACGACATGAGGCTCTCCTTGAGGTGTCTGGGTATCCACGAGGATCACCTACGCATTCTGCGTGAATCCATGAAACAACGAAACCCCCCGCGGGGTTCGGTTCGGGAACCTTGTACTTTTTGCCTTTTCTTCTGTGGGGCCTTGGAGAGCCCTCTCTCAGCCATGGATACAGGAGGCTACTGTTGGCCCCCACGACTCGGCTGATTTCACAAACGGCACCAGAACTGGGACATGTTTCTTGCAACAATTGGTTTAAGCGGCTGAAAGAGTCACAAACTACAAATCGAAAGTCAGTGCAGGAACCTAATTAGCATCTACGGTTTAGGGTTTGGAAGGTGATGTCGGACGACAGTGTCTGTTTGGAATCGTACAATCCACAAAATACCACTAGTTTTAAGTTTTGAGGGACTGCACATTCCATTCACTGGTGGCAACTAAGCACAACTACAACACAGGTAGCTCCAGTTTCCAAGGAAGCAACAAGCTTTTTCAGGCGGACTCGCTCACTCCTGCACTTTCATCTTCAAGTCTCGAATCAAAAGCAAACAGGTGGGATCCCAAAACCCGACCAGAAGGGTAGCTGCAGGATTGCCTAAGAAGTGTGAAGAAGGCTATGCAGTTACACAGCTCTTGCACGCTGATGCTCTGTCGCCAGCAACCCAAAAAATACACTGCCCAGAAGCTCATTGGACCCTCCCAACTAGGGTTTTGGACCTCAAAATGTCTCAGTTTGAGTGTCCATGATCCTCTGGGTGGGCAACTTCCACGCCGTTCCGGCCTGGCCTGACGCATGGTTCATCAGCGGTGATCTGGGCGCCAGCACCTGATCTGACGTCAGGGTCCGAGGAAATTCTGAGATGAGAGGAATGTGGCAGGTGATGGGCAAACATGCTCTCACGATGATGCTCACATGGTTATGACGGCTGCCCAACACGTAAGAGCGAAATGTGCCATTCAGAGCATTCTTGGACAGACCGTGATCTCATCCTAGTGAGTGATCATGGGTTCTCTCAGATCACCATTTCAGCCTCTTCGTGCTCTCAATCGCCCCAAGACCAGGCCAAGGGGGGCCCACACCGGACTCTTCGGTGCTTCGGTCGCACGACCGGCGACGTTGCGCAAGAAGACCAGACTGCGAAAGCCACAAGGGCCCCTTTCTTCAAATAGGAGGGGCTGAAGTCGATGTGCAACGCTCACCAGTTGATTGATGATCGATTATAAATATTGCGAGGAGCCAAGCAACATGTCGCAGCAGTAAATGACATGCGCTTCACTTCGCTCCCAACAATATGCCGACAAAAAGAACTTGCACTTGCATGCATTGTCTCAATTGATCTCATTTGTATTGTATCTGAGTGGTTTGTACAACTACACCCCGACCCCCAGCCTTCAGAAAAGTGCCATTCATATCGGGCTATTCTTTTTCAACCAGGCTAGCCTGTCAAAACCACCAGCTGGCTCTTTTCAAAGTGCCTAGCCGAAGTGCAGAGCCTGGGCGTCGGGTCACCCTCCGTCCCTTTCTCTGCCTCGATGCGCAGCGCATGTCCAGGGCAATTCTCGTCACCTGGAGCGGAGATCATTTGGTTCGTTGATTGGGGAAGATTTAATTCGTTCGTAGCATGGCAGCTACAGGCAATATGCCAAAGGCGCAAGCAACCCAAAAATAATGCATTGATGGGGAAATGTTGCGCCAAAAAACGGCTTGGCTTCTTGTGCGTCGGTGGTGTTTTAAAACCAAACATGCCAAGTCGAAAGGGCCCCACAGGAGCCATTGAGGAGCAAGCGTCCACCTCCCAAGGCCAAGGGAGGTGATGGTTGCCTGTATGTGGGAGATGGTTTTGGGGAGAGTCTCCCACCTAGGTGCTGTGCTCAAACGCCCTTCATGATGGCGCTTAGTGGGCCCTTCCCTTTGCACATGAACCGCACCTTGCACCCTTCGCTGCAGCAGATTCAGCATACTCATTGATTAGGTTGAAGATGATGTTCTGCCTTTTACACGTTTGCTGGAGGCCCTACTTACACTTGCTTGGAATTCTGTTTGCGAGTGTACAAAGTGGTCTCATTGTCGCTTGTAGACCTGGACTTGGCAGAAGATGGAGTATGCTTTGCTATAAGTTGAAAGGCTATCAACATGCATAACTGTCTCACGGTGTCTGTACGGCTTCGCAACCTGATTGGCTCGTCCTGTCACAGGGAGTTTGAAGTGCTTCGTGGTATGCCTTCATTCAGGACTTTATCAAGGCAACTGTGGTACCCTTGAGCGCTGGCTTACTTTCTACAGGGCTTGCTACGGGCAGTGTCGCTTTTGAGCCTTGATCTCTCGCTCGCCGGCATTCCTATTCTAAAACAAGCAGCGGGGGCCGGGTGCTATTTGATGCATTTCCTGTTTCCAGAAAATGTTGTGTCTTGCGCTTCGGCCCACGCAATGGTTCTTGCCCACAAAGGGAGGCGCCACCAATGCCT